ACCACTGGCTACACGAGAGCCCAGCTAACTCTCCCCAGATCCTTGCTCCTCCTGCACATCCAGAAGCATTTGTACCAACACCTTCCCAGGGACAGAGAGGCTCTCCCACCCTTCCTCCTTGCGTTTCTGGAATATAGCTGTGGTAGTTGCTCAGATTGATGGGAGCCTCCCCAGAGAAGCAGGACCTTCTGAAGAGCAGGGCCTGGCGCTGGCAGCATGGCTCCCCCCACTAGGCCCAGGATGCTCCCCAGCCAGTCAGAGCCATGTAGTAAATGGTTTAATTAACACACTGACAGCACCACAGCCAGGCTGAGCTGGACTTTATCCGCTGCTCTGCTTGGCCGCCAGTCTCTTGTCTCTCTCTTCAGCAATGGTCAGGCGGATGCCCTTCCCACGGGGCAAGGAGATCCACGGCTTGTTGCCCTGCAGCAAGGGAGAAGAAACGACATCAGGAAACCCAGACAGCCCTCTAAAGGGGAAAGCAGCAGAAGCCCACCCCTGCTCATGCTGGGCCAGGTACACACAGTGGTGGCACTGGCACAGCAGAGGCCCCTAAGGAAGGTGCCAAGGATGCACAGGTCCACAGCTGCCTTTTAGTCACATCCATGAAGAACATGCTTCAGCCAAAACCAAAACACCGCCCCTCTACAACCTGGACAAAGAGCCCATCAGGGATGTCAAAACAGCAGAGGCTTTGTGAGGGGCCCTCTGAGTCACAGCAGCTGCCCAGATAGCACCAAGGTCTGAGTACTGCTCAGGCCCCAGTTCACAAGATTCAGAGCTGCTTCTTGAAAACACCCACATCCCTAAAGCTGCAAATGCTTCTTCCCCTTCCCAGAGCAGGAAGAAATACAGGGAGCTGAGTCAGAAGTGAGGCCAGCACAGAAGGTCCACCTTGTGGGAAGACAGCTGTCGAAGGAAACACCAAGGCTCTTTGCCTCAGCCAGCAGGCCCTCACAAGAGAGAACCCCCCACCTGGTGCCACTACGGCCTTACTTTGCCAATAACGAAGATGTTGGAGAGCCTGGTGGCAAAGCTGTTGCCGTTGGCATCCTTCACATGAACCACATCAAACGACCCGGGGTGCCTCTCCCGGTTGGTGATCACCCCAATACGGCCCAAGTTGGCACCGCCGGTCACCATGCACAGGTTACCTGAGTAAGGGAATACAGGTGTGACAAGAGCTGGCACCAGGTGCTGTGAAGTCCTTCCACTTGGGCTCTCTGCCCACACCAAACATTCCCATCCCACCCATGCTAGCACTGCTAACAGCTCTGTGACTGAAACCATCTCTCAAAACTAAGAGACAAGCTGAAGCACCTCCCCCACCAGCTCACACTGCTTCTACTTGGTGCCTCAGAACTGCCAAGTCCCTGCCAAATTCCTCCCACTGCCAGGACACAGGAAGAATCCCCTGCTCCAACTCCAGGTGAACATGCTCCTGGGAAACAAACCCCTCCCCAAGGTTGACACCACTGCCTCTCTATTTCAGTGCAAATATGCTTAGCATTTAACGTCTGCACTGCTCTTCACAGTGGGGAAGGGTGAGGTGCTTTAATGGGATGCAAGACCTACCTGTGTCAAACTTGATGAAGTCTGTGATCTTGCCTGTCTCCAGGTCAATCTGGACCGTATCATTCACCTTGATGAGGGGGTCTGGATAGCGGATAGTGCGGGCATCATGAGTGACCAAGTGAGGGATTCCTTTGGTGCCCACAAAGATCTTCCTCACCTTGCACAGCTTGTACTGCAAACAAAACCCAACACCTCTCAGCTGAGGCAGCGAGTAATGCCAAGGACTAGGGAACTCTTGTACTCCAAAGAGCCACTAGCCAGCAGAACACCCAGACACTCAGGGCTCACATGAGCCCATGCAGCGACTTGTCCAGCTCCCTGCCTAACAACTTTTGAACAGCTGCCATGCAGCTCTGCTACAGCCCCACCAGAAAACACCTCTGCTGTTGGGAGCAGCAGCCCACCTTGGCTGCAGCCTCCCCACAAACACTGGCCGTACTTTCACAGGCAAGTCTTCACCAGGGCAATTCCTTTCTTTATCCCCAAAGCCCATGGACACACAATGGAGGCTGCATTTCTCCAGGACTGAAGAGAGATCTCTGCACCCTCCAGGACACTGATTTCCCTCCTGATTGTCACACTAACTCCCTCATAGCCTCTCCGGACCTCACAGATCAACATGGAGTAGTAGTCAGAGAAGTACATCACAAGGAGAAGTACACCACAGCTGGCTCCAGCACAGCCAGCTCTGCCATCCAGACAGCTGTGTGCCTGCACAGCCTGCCTTAAGGAAGGAGATGCAAAGCAGAGAACAGCGTCGCAGCTCAGGCACACCATGCCTGGGTTAAGGGAACGTATGAGTAAGTTGCTCCACAGCATCCAGGCTGAGTAGGCAGTTTTGTTGCCCTGGGAAGAAGTTCAAGGCCTTTACACCACAGGCAATTCCATGCTTCTGGTTATTGTTAGCTGGCAAAGCCAAGACTCCACCCCAAAACTCTCTGATCCAGCCTATGCCAACAGTATCATCTCCAGCACCAGACAATGCACCTACACCCATCTGTGAACTACTTTCATGTAACCAAGAGATCTCCCCCCCGACACAGGCTTCACCACAACCCTGAGCACCCCAATCCCAAGTGCAGCATGGTCTCAACTGTCAGGGAAGAAAGCCATCAGCTCTCATTCAGGAGATGCCAAAGAGGAAGCACTGCCCCAACCAAACTCAACTGGTCTCATGCTTACACCACATCAAAGCTCCTCACCTTGGCCTCCTCAGGTGTGATGCGGTGAACAGCAAACCGGCCCTTGGTATCATACACCAGGCGGAAATGCTCACCTGTCTTCTCAATGCTGATGACATCTGATTGCAGACAGAGAGATAAAACAGCAGCTGTTATCAGCTCATTATCCAAGTTCACGTTTAAAAAGAAACAGAGACTGCTGAACAACATTTAAGGTATGACTGATGAGGCTGGGATCTACCCTTGACCACAGACAACTTTTGCTGTGAAAGACTGCAAATTAGCAAAAAATGCTGAAGGCTGGAATCTGAACAGCAACTTACCCAGGTCATGTAGGAACTTACAGGCTACAGGTATCTGACTATGGTATTCACTGTAGAGCACAACTCCAAACTAAATAACAACTGCTTATATATATCTTTTCTTCAACTCCAGCAGAGAAACCTTGCCCCGCAAATAATGCCAGCCCCACAAAACACTCCCCAACCAGTGCAGCAGAGCTGCCTAAGGAATTGCCCCAACCCTACTCACCCATGAAGCCTGCAGGGTAGGTGATGTCAGTACGGACTTTGCCATCTATTTTGATGAACCTTTGCATGCAGATCTTCTTGACCTCATCTCCTGTCAGAGCATACTTCAGCCGGTTGCGCAGGAAGATGATGAGGGGAAGGCACTCTCTCAGCTTGTGGGGGCCTGTTGATGGGCGGGGTGCCTGTGGACAGAAGCTTTGTGCTGGAGGCTCAAAAAAAACCACCCCAGAGAAGGAAACCATGGTACCAACAGCTCCCGGAAGAGCTCGGAAGGGCAGCACCACAAAGTGAAGCTGCCACGCAGGCAGTGGCCAGCTGAAGCTCTCTGTTCTTGGTATTCACAGCAGTTCCCCCTATGTCTTGCCAGACTCATAAAACTGTCCCCAACAGAGCACAACCATCCATCGCAACCCAGAGGTGGAAAAGAACAATAGACAGGTTAAAACGGAACAGCCAACGACCCCATCACGTCCTCTGCAAACGGGGGAACACGAGCACTATTCACAAAGACCCAAACGTTAAACAGACACCTCCTGCCCTGTCCAACTGCCCCTGTTCACCGCTCGTCCCCGCGCAGCACCTGAACATTTCTCCTGATGTGACTGCAGCTGCCACGACCAGCCCGGCCCCGGTCCCACCTCCGACCCGGGCCTCGACCCCAAACCCAAGCTCGACCCCAGCTTCAACCTCAAACCCAGGCCCGCACTCACGAAGACGCCCGTCAGCTTGTCCAGCATCCAGTGCTTGGGTGCTGCCACGCGCTTCAGATGCTTCTTGGGGCCGCGGGCCTACAGGACGGGACGTGAAGGGATGTGTTACGGGCCGCCGCCAGGTCCGGCCCTCCCAGCCATCCCTCCCCGGCCCCCTCAGACTGCCGCCCCTCCGACCCTAGCGCCGGGCTCCCTCCCGTGCTTGTCGCCCCGGGGCGGGCGGTCACAGCCCGCGGTAAGCGGGGGATGGCGGCGGATGCAGGCGGGGAGCGGCGGCGCCGCGCTCTCACCATGGCTGCGCTCTGCCGAGAAAGGGCTGTGGCTTCCGGCCCGCCGCTGATGGACACAGTGTAGCGGCAGCGACGCGCGTCGCCCCCTGGCGGCCCGGAGGTCCAGGGCCGCCCGCGAGGTGACGGGGAGCTCGGAAGGGCTTGTCCCTTCCTGGCGGCCCCGACGGGGACACACCGCTGCGGGGCACCGCGCTCCGGGACTCCCTGCTCCTAGCCGAGCACTGTGTCCGTGGTCATCGCTGGTGGGGGACAGCCCGCCACATTCTGGCCTTGCCGTTTGGAAGAGTGTGTGAGTATCGGGAGCTGAGCCAGAGGTAACACCTGTGCCTGGACCCCACCTTGCCCACACCTGCCCTCCCACACCTGTGCCTCCTCCCTTTAGCACCCACTCCTGAATGCAGTTCGGGGGTCAAGTGGTCCCACCTGCCCTCCCCAGGGGGGCCGACGTGTCCCCACAGTGCCCCGGGGACAGTCCCAGACCCCCGCACCCTGCCAGGCAGCCCAATGAGTGCAACAGCCCCACACCTAGCACGTCCCCATAGCAGCGCTCCTGTAAGCAGGGGGTGGCTGGGACAGAGGTCCCATTCCCCAGGGTGACACTGTCACCGAAAATGTCGGGATAAATGAGACTCTGTGTTTAGCTTAGAGAGCAGCAGTACTTTATTCACACTGCTGGGTGCATAGGGGGAGCTCCACCCATGATACATGCACGCTTTCAAAACTTCTCATTAATCATACACTTTAGCAAAGAAATTAATATTCATTTGCTATAAAATACATAGTTATTTTCATTAATTAGTATTTTATCTTCTACTGGTTACAGATTTCTTGCTTCTCATGCTAATTAGTCAACATTTTTAATCTTGTTATTATCTTATTATCTTTTTCCCAGGTAAGACAATTGCTGAATTGTCCTTGTTAATTTCTTTATCTCTTGGTTCTGCAAAATGTCCTTGTAGTCTACAAATTCTGCATTCTGTGTGTCCAGTTTCAGCAATATATCTCTTCCATGTTTAGTCAATGAAGCATATCAAGGTTGGTTTAGCAAAACTTCAAAGTTATAGTAATTTTCCCGACCTGTGTTCCTACAATAGCAGCTTATGACAAACCTTGCTAAGTGCTTGACTACGGTGGAAAATTACACTGTTCATGACTGATTAAAACAATTAATTAGAAATTTTAATTAGGAAAGTTGTATAATTTCAACAGGATAGGAACATCATAAGCCGAGAAGACACACTGGAGCTGCGGGGCGTCCACACTCCTTCCACCAAGGGCTGCTTTCACACAACGTCCTTCGCCGAAATGGACAAGGGGCATAGCCGACGGAACAACGATCCTTCCAGATTTTATTAGAGGGCATCTTGAGAGCCACGCCTGCCGGGCCCACCGCAACCCCTAAGCGTTTTGGGGCAGGCAGCGCGGCCCCAGCTCCTCCTCCCGCTCCTTCCCACACTCGGCCGGGTTCCGAGCGTTCCCTCCGCCCGCAGCGCCGGTACCTGGGGCAGTCGGGTCGCTGCTCACCGGTGGGGTGAGGTAGAAGCGCCCCCGCCCCAGCCTCAGGAGCCGGCCGGCAGGTCCGACGAGGAATCGAGCTCGTGGTGACCGAGCCAGAGCTCCGGCAGCTCGTCCGCCCTGTTGAGGCCAAGCTCCACCACCAGCGCATGAGCACCTTGTCCCCAGGGTCGGTGAGGCCGGGGTCAGAGGCCTGGAGGGGGCGGCTCCCCGCGGCTTCGTCCCCAAGCCCCGGGCGAGCGACGAGCACCGTTCTGCGGCACTCCGGGATCCAGCGCGGTTCTGGACGTGGAGTTTCTGCAGGCACAGGCTGGCCCGGAGGTTGGGACCCGCCTGGGGGGCCACAGAGGCGGGGAGCAGGCGGGGTCCCCGCCGCCGGCACCTCCTCGGCCCGGAAGGGGTAGCAGCGCAGGATGGCCACCACCGTGAGGTCTTTCGTGCCCCGGGAAGGGACTGTAAACAGCTCATCTCCGGCGTTTGCGAGGACACGGCCGCTCTCAGAGGGGCGCGGGCTGCCCCGGGAGGGTGCGGTCCAGCGACGTGCCCAAGATAGGGAGGGAACTGGAGCGGCGCTCCGGCTTACCCCCGCCCTTGCTTGGGCAGCAAGGCAGGCATCCCATCCTGGATAGGGGGTGTAGGGATTTCCACCCAAGAGGCACCTCACCGAAAGCCACATTTGACACTTGTAGGATTTCCTGTTTATTTTCTCAGCTGAGTTCCTGAAACAGCTCCCACAGCTTACAGGGCAGTCTGCCTGCTGTGGGGACAGAGCACATGGGGCCCCGAGGTGGGTCAGAGCCAGCATCTAACCAGCTTCTCTGCCCTCTCATTCCTCACCTTTTTCCCTGGATGGGCAGTCCCCAATCCTGACATCTCCTCCAGGCACTGGGATCCTTTGCTGAGGCAGTGGCAGCCCCTCCTGCTAGCGGTCACCATGCAAGACTGGTAACACCACACCAGGTGCTAGGGGTACATGGAAGCAGGCAAGGAGTCAGGAGTCACAGGAGCCACATCCTGCTGACCTATCTCCACACCAGATTTCCTGTTGTTTCAATCAGCAGTGAAAAACAAATCCAAGGCCAGGCTGGGAACCCCTTTGTCTTGCTGTTTCTTCCAGCATAATCTAATTAAAGCCACAGGAAATATGCTTTCCACAGTGACTGGACATCTTTAAAAGCATAATAAAAAGTCCATAGGCCAGGAGAACGAGGGGACAAGGGCTGCAGAGGCCAGGCTCCGTGGCCCTTGGCACTGGGACAGATCTGTTCCAGACACCTGTATACCTGTTCCCTTGCTGATAAACCTCATGGCAGCTCTCATGGGGCACCAGAGCATCTGGAAGTTCATCCAAGATCTCTCAGGACAGGAGCTACCACAATGCCTTGCATCTTCCTCAACACTCCTGAGAGGCTCTCCAGGGTCTGGCCCTTCTATGCAGGATTTCAGCTCACAAATGGCTCTGCAGTGTGTGGGGGGGTGATGCTGTGGAAAAGAGCACTGGCAAGGCAGGGTGGGTAGAAGAAGAAAGGAAAGGGCTGGAGGAGTATTTAAAGTATTTTATTTTTTAAAAATTCCCAGTTAAAAACACAATGGCTCTGCCTTTCTGTGGGTAAGAGACAACCTGTGGTGCCACAGGGTACCCCTCAGGCTCTACTTCCCAGGTGGGCAGCTCTGAGGCTGTGGCCTTATCAGGTAGGCAACACAGCACTGGGCTCCAGCTGGGGAGTGCTCACAGCTCTGAGCAGCCCCTCTCTTAAAATACATTTAAAAGCAGTTGTGACAACAAACTGTGGTGTTAAGAAAGGAAAGAGAAAGGAGCAAGGAAGGCTCTGCCAGCACTGGAAAGCTGTGGCCCACACTCCTGCCTGGGGAGAGCCACAGTGCTCATGCCATGCAGCAGCTTTTCTTCTTTGAAGAGAGAAAACAATTAACCAACCAACCAACCAACAGTACTTTCTTCGAAAGTTTCCCTGCAGCCACCAAGTTCATCATTTGTTCACATAAACATGCTGTCTTCCCCTTTGCCTGAGCTTTCCTTTTCTGCTAAACAACGTGCTTCAGATTCCCTGCAAATAAAAGGAAGCAGAAAAGGGTATTTCCACTGATATTTTAGCCTGATGGAGTGACCTGGCAAAGGGTGCCACTCCCATGCCTGATGGACTAGGCTGCAATGTGGGAATTCCAGCCTCAGCACAGATCGCAGTTCCTGCTGACCCCTCACTCCCTTTGCAGAAGCTGCTGCCCTCGTTTGAACCAGGCTGTGGAAACTGCCACAGGGGCACCCTTCCACTGCTTTCAGTATGCTGAATACTGTTTTGGGATTTGTGGACCAGCATCTGAGAGGCACATGCTCACTCCTTGCTGCCTTGTCCTTTCAGGCTGGATTCACAGACAGGAGTGCACAGCCCTCCCTTCCAGCTCTGGAGTGATGCTGTTCCTCCTATCCTCTTGGACAGGTCCCCCAAGGAGGGGATGGCCTCTTCTTAGGATTGGCCTGTGCTTGGGAATGGACACCTGAATGCACTTCCTACCCTGCTTCCAACACCAGCACACTGCAACACACACAGATGGGAAAGGGCTGCGAAGCCCCATCGTGCTGTTCCCAGCCCCTCTGGTGGACAGGGACAAGAAAGATGGGAAAGGGCATTCAAAGAGTTTGGCTGGAGCTGGCAGAGCTCACCCAGCTGCCTTTCCTGAACTTAAAGCGTTTCAAGTCCTGCCTGCTGGAGACCTGTCCCAGTTCCAGAGAGCTATTTCCCACAGTCTCCTCCTGGACCAACTGGAAAGACACAGATTGGATGGATGGTCTGCAAAGGGGATAGGGAGGGAGCTGGCTCACAGGAAGCTCACAGTTGGTGGTGATTTTTACATGGTCTTGCAGCCTGTCACAAGGGACTGATACTGAGCCCCATATTGCTCAACATCATAAATGACCTGGATAATGAGACTGAAAACAACCACAGCACCAAACTGGGTGCTGAGGTGAACACGTCAAAAGGGAGAGCCATCTTAGAGAGCTGGACAGGCTGGAAGACTGGGCTAAAAAGAACAGTCTTAAGTTTAACAAAGACAAAAGCAAGGTCCTGCACTTGAGATAGAAGGTGCCCAGTTCAGGCCAGGATCTGTGACTGGGAAGCAGCTTGTGAAAATGGATGTGGGGGTCCTGATAGGCAGTAAGCAGAAAGGGATCCAGCAGTGTGCTGCTGCTGTGTCTGCAGTGTAGCAAACTGGATCCTGTGCAACAGGTGTAGGAGCATTACTAAGAGAAACCGGATCATCTCATTTCAGGTGCAGATGACAGTGAGTACTGTGTCCAGTTATGATCCCCACAAATCACAAACATGGACAGAGCAGAGAAGGTCCAAAGGAGGACCACAAAGGTGATCAGATGCTGGAGAACCTGCCCAATGAGGAAATACTCTCCTAGCAGAAGACAAGGCTTAGGTGGGACCTCATCACAGTAATCTAGTACTTGAAGCCTACTCTGTAGGCTTCAGAGGACAGAGGCTCTCTCTTCACAAAGAGCCACATGGAAAGGACAAGGGACAACAGGTGTGAGGTGTACCAGGAGAGGTTTCACCTTATTTTAAGCATTTTTTTTACAGTGAGAACAATCAATCACTGGAGGAAACTCCCCAGGGATGTGGTAGAGGCCCCACTGTCAGAAGTTTTCAGGATGTGACTGGACAGGTTGCTAGATAACCTTGTCTATGCTCCCTTTCCCACAAAAGTTTGGACCAGATGATCTTTGAAGTCCCGTAGAACCCGGGCTGTTCTATGACAAGTCCCCAAGCTCCCCTGCCCAGCCAGAGCAAAGGCAATGTCAACTTTTGCTACAGGGACCAGTAACTCTATACCACCAACCCTGAAAATCCCAAGGGATGTGGGAGGCAAATGACACTGCGAACTAATGAGCAGCCAATGTGGTTCATCTTTCCATACAGTGAGAAAAACTCCAATGAGCTCTTCTGAAGCGCTCTCTAAAAAGACCTCTAAGCCTGAAGAAGGAGTGTTGGCTTAGACAACGCACCTTTGATAGAGTTCAGAATTTCTTGAATTCTCTGTGGCTCATTGCGGTCTGGTCTGCAGCTTGGTGTGATCTCCAGCACGTAATCAGGACCATACTCTGTGAAGAACTGCACAGAAGAGGAGAGAAAAGTCAGCAGAGAGGTCTCTGAAGGCTGAGGCTAGAGGGAGGGCTCCCCATGGGTACCTGCTTGTAAAAAGACAAAACAACCACATTTCTCCACCTAAGGGCCACATGTAGCTTCACTACATCAAGGTGGTACTTCAGCAGTGTCTGTGTCCACCTGTAGTTTTTAACCACTTCCCCATTCAAGGGATGGGAAGCAGAGGCCAGTGAGGCAGCCAAAAGCAGTCAAATGTCTATCCCAATGCTTTATTGGGAAAGCTGTTGACACTCATTCTACACAATTATATTACAAATACAGGTTACCTGCAAATGGGATTTATTATTAAATGTCAAATGCTGTAATCACATATCCTACCATTCACCTCCTACCTTGCTGAGCACTGCCTTGATATGACTGTGAAACACCTGGGAAAGGAAAAATCAGTGTGCTGCAAGGCCACTGTCATGACTAAAAGCTCAGACAGCATGCTGGAAACCTGCAGCACCTGGGGTTGATGCACTAACACAGAAATCACAGGTTACTGACAGCCATTGTGTCATGATTCTGGCCAAGACAGAGTCAGTTTTTGCAGTAGCTAGGAGGAGGCACAGCCAGGACACAGAGGTTATTCTACACCACCTCGTGTCATTGCTGAGGGCAGGTGAAAGGGACTGTGTTCCAGACAGAAAGGATTCCTTCCAGCTGAAATAATGTGGCAGAGGGAGCTGTGCAGTTTTGTCTATTATCAGGGGGGCAGAGGTGTTTCTGTGTGAATTGTTTCTTTTCTTGTTCCACCTGTCATTGGTATTGTTGCTGTTCAGTAAATTTTCTTATTTCAGCTGTGATCTTTACCCTTTATGCCTCCAATTGGAGGGGGTAGGGGAAGCAGTGCAAGCTCTTAGCAGAAGCACTAAACTGGAGAATACCATTCCTAAGACAACCTTAATTGGTGCCCAGCATGGGGCACAAAGGGTTGAGGTAATAACAGATCTGCTCAGAGTAGGCTAGAAACAAATTTGGTTCTAAGCATTTGTTCACATTAGGTAGAGCCACTGGTCACAATGTTGCTTGTTCTGTTCATGTGGGTGTGGTACATATGTGTGAGCAGGTATGTGTTCCTTGTGATGATATTTTTCAGAGCAGGGAGAGGGATCAGGATTGCTTTCTTGCTGTACTGTGTGATATCAGTTTATGAAATGATAACAAGGGCAATGAGGGTCATTTTGGATGTGTATTCAGTGTTCCTTTCCTACCCTTACCTTGGACACTACCTTTGGTAGTCCATTAATAATGGTACTCAGCCTGAGGGGGACACAGGAGAGGATGATTCTCCCCAGCTTGCCAACCCCTCTTCCTCCTTCAGGCCTGTTACAACAGCTTTTGAGAAGTTTGAATTCCCTTTGGGTGTTACAGAAAGCATGTTCTTGTTGCTATGTCTCTTATGTGTGTCTCCTCAGTACAATTTATAACATGTTTAGAGTCAGTGGAGTCCACACCATGTTTAGAATCAGGACAGAGATTTCTAGGAAGGTCATTCAGAGATCTGCCCCAAGGGCGGATAGTCAAAAGTGGCATAGAATGTGGGAGAAAATGGGCCAGTTTCTGGGGAAATTCTCTGCTCCAATGGTTTGGAAGTTCACCTCTGTACAATTACAGAACCCTGATAGAGTGACAGAATACTTGCAAGGTGAGTGCTGTGTTAACTCCAGAGAGGAGCAACTTACTGGATTGTGCTGAGCCCTGGCTACTCTTTACCAGACACTGCTGGTCACCAGACAGAACCCTCAGGGGGAGGGGAAGGAGAAAAGCAGAGCAACAGGCACTGTGGCCACTCAAACTGCAGCTGAAAAAAAGAATGAAAGCCTTGGGAAAGACAAAAGGCACACATCCTAAAGAGCTCTTTGAGCAAAGCAGAGAATCCTTCTGCCCATCCTCTCTGTAACTACCTGAGATTGGAGTTTATTGGCATGTGAGACCTCTTGCAGAAAGCTGCAGACAGCCTGTTTTTGGACACAAGCACCCACCATACTGCTAGGTCAGTGCAATATTGTTACCTAAGTGTCTTCAGAAAACAGGACTGAATGGCAAGGATGATGTGTGGATTAGGCAGAACAACTGACTCTTCTGTAAGGAGAAGGAAGGGTTTTTCAAAGCATTACCTCATGATCAGGGATCTCAGAGGAGAGTGTTCTCCCAAGGATGACCCCGGTCAAGTATGTCCAGCAGCGAGCCGTGTTGGCAAGGTTGTAACCTCCTGTTTCCAGCAAGAGTTGGGATTTTGAGGAGGAAGAGTGGGGAAAGGGAAAAGAGAAAAAGAGATTTAAGTGGTAAGAACAAATCATGAAGCCACTGTGCACAGGTTACATGAATTCAGCTTATTTAATCCACTCAAGCTATGCCCAAAATCTGCCTTTTGCAGCTGCTGGTTATACAAGGCCACGTCTGAATGACGGTGTATGCAAGAGCAGACTGTTAGAATCTGAAATAAAAGCTTCTCTGAGTCTCTCAGAGAGAGAAAGGAACTAAAATATATTAAACTACATAGACATGAAGTAAGAGTGTAGGTTTTAGTTTTAAGTAAGTAGAAATATAGTTTAAGTGCCTTAAGAAATTGTGTTAGCTAGTAAAAAGCCCTAAGGCCTAGTTTAAAGTTCAGTAGTGTAACCTTTCACAGAATCAACTTAGTCCTAGACATAATGAATACATAGCTTACATTTCTAGATAAGACAGATAAAGCTATTCATGTAAACAGATAATGCTCTATACGTAGCACTTAGGTAAAGACTGACACTGCCTTTGCATATTAGAATTAAGCTTAGATTGGTGTAGAAAGAATGTATTAGAATTGTGTTTTTAGCTGATTTTGAATATAATCCCCTGCACCGGGATGAAACAACAATACAAAGAAGAACAACACCATCATCGTCATCAAACCCAAAGAAGAACTACTCCAACTGCTTCTACTGCCCAGACCAATGGGACTTTATGCTGGGAAGCTGCTGTTCAGAATTTGGGACTTTATGCCAAAAGTTTTTAGTGCAAACTTTAATACTCTGAACTCTTTGCCTTCAAGACTGATGCATTCATACAATAAATATTTTTATAGCAACCAGCAACTGCTCTTGTCTCCTTGAGACCTGGAGACTCCCATGAACCACTCAAAAGCAGACCTGTCAAACTGACCCTGTTTACATCCGGTGTGGCAGAGGCTGGTCCTCCACCCACCATCTCAGACGCAGGATGAGCTCCCAGCCCCATGTGCCGGAGGACTCTCTCCTGGCAACAAGGAGAGCCATTTGCAAGTAGCAGGCCACAGCAGAAATGGGAGCTTCCTGCTTTTTAATACCAGCTTTTGACCTATAATGCAATATATGCATACCCAGCCACATGCTGGTGAGCTCTTCAGCACCATCATGTTTGAGAAGACAAATGCGAAGCTCATCACTACAACTTGCTTTACGTGGAAATGAGACTTCACAGTGAATAGGAAATGGTTACCTACATAGCAACGGAACATGAGCCCACAAGGAGAAACCTTAGCTGAATGCAATCCGGCAAGAGACTCAGGTGTTTTTTTCCAGAAAAGATGACTAGAATAGTAAAGGGAGAAAACCCCTTCAACAAGACAGAGAGACCATATTTTTCAATATTCCCTTCTGTTTGCTTTGGTCATTGTGGGGTTTTTTCCCTGCTTTTTTTTTTTACTTCCCCCCCAATTTCCACTTCAAATGCTTCCACATGCTGCAGTGGTGGGACACTCCTTTGGTATTTTCACAAGTGACTAATAGTCTATCCTCATTTTTTAACATAAATTTTGTGTTTTGTCTGAAAAGTGACATCTCCAGCACACTCACAGACAAGCCACAGCAGGACTGAACACTCATGACCTTTCCAAAACAAAGGGCATCAGACACATCAAATTTTAGCCTCAGTATGCTGTATCTGATTTCCCCCATCTCAAAAAGGACAACACCTAGAGCTGATCTGGCTCCAATCATGGCACTCAAGGGCTTTCCCTGGCACACAGTGGCTTTTGTTCTGAAATGCTCTGTTAACATAAAGCCTGTCCTGTGCTCTCCCTACTGGACAAGCAGCTGGTTAGGCAGCACAGCAAAGCTGAGTCCCACTTAGCTTTCACTGGGTATCAGAGCCCTTCCAGGCAGCCAGGCCATGTCCCAAGGCCTCTGCTTGAATCTTAATGAAACCAGGTGCCCAAGGTAGGTTTGGGAACATAGTGCTCACTTTTAAAGAGAAGCACCAAAGGGCTGATCAGCAGAGATGGGAATCAGAAGTGTCACTGAGAAGTCAGGGTCAGTTTGTTGGCCTCTCCTCTTCTCCAGAGGACCCATGCAGCTCTTAACTCAAGCTCTGAGTCAGGATTGAGACTTGCACCTGTCAGTATCAAGGATTTCAGGTGTGATAAAACAGTACTGTGCCACAGTGTGTCCTCATGACACTGCTCAGCAGTCACCCTGCTAAACTCTTACCAGTGCTGAGCCCAAGGGCAGGCAGGCACTCGAGGCAGGGTCACAGGAGGGACAAAGATGTTTCTCTGAGAACAGCAGGATGCACTCACCTCCTCCCAGGATAAGAGTTGCTAGCTGCCACTGTAAGACATACTTGAGGCACTTGCCCACTCCCTCGGGTGTCATGTTGAAAGAGCACATGGGGTCTCCAGCAATGGTGTCTGCGCCCAGCTGCAGCACAACTGCATTGGGGTTGAAGGCAGCATACACCTCCTTCAGCACTCTGGGGAGAGGAGAAGCAGTCCAGTTAATGCCAGCACAGCTCAGAGGAATGCTGGTGGCATGGCCCTGATCCCTCAGATCCACCAATGTCTCTCAAGGCTTCTGCACTCTCTGCTTCCACCCAACTCATACCAGTTACACTACCTCTGCTCCCAGTTAGCCTTCTACCTCCACAGCAAGTTTAGCTCTCAGAGCACTTACCAAAAGGCTCACAAATGTAAAAGCACCACTGATAACATGGCAGAGGGGAATCTTGTCCTCACCAGTTTAGTGGTAGCATCAAACCCCACATTTACACTGTCTACCTTTTGGCTGCAGGACAATCCAGGGGCTTTTCTGCCCTGTGAAAGTCATGGTGGAAATCAGGGTCTGGCGAAACAACAATCCTGAACTCTCAGACATCTCTCACCAGGACAGGAGAAACAGAGGAAGGCTCTGGCTAGGCTCTTACTCTCCTCTCTCCTATATGGCTCTTGTGGCAAAACTATTAGGAAAAGCTCTGTGCTTTAGGGTGTAGTCAGCCTGCAAAAACCCACACTGGACAGAACTTCATGCTTCAAGCCCATTGTGGTTTTGGGAAGTACAGACAATCACCCTCAAACAACAGCTGGATGAGACATCCACAGTCATGCCTGTTGTGACTGCCTCCCAGCCTGGACAGAACTCGAAGAGATTTCTAAGTCTCTTTGCAGAAGCTTTAGCTATACACAGCTTGAAATCTGTGGTAGGTTATGATGTCCTTCAGCTGTGAATGCATGCAGTGGGCTCCTGACCTGTCTCAGCCCCTAGAGCTGCCTCTCAAAAGCATGTCCTCTGGCACAAAGAGGGCTGCTCTGCCCCAGCAATAATGGCAAGCACCAATAAGCCAGTAGGAGGCATGGCCCCCACATGACTGCCCTACAAGTTTATAGAGGTTTCAGCCCTCAAGAAAGAGGTGGACATGCTACCACGTCCTGCAGCCCTGCACTGAGACTCCTCTGCCCTGGAAAAGAACAAGCCCCACAGCCCACTTTTGACATGGGCAACATCTTGTGAGGTCCATTATCAGCTGAGGGACAGAGGGGACTACTAGGAGGCAGCTCTTTCACTGACAGATGTTCAGCCTTTAGCCTTTCAATCTTCCAGCACAGACCTAAGGTGCTAGGAAAATGCTTTCAGCTAAGACCCAAGCATATGTCCCACAGTCAGAATTCAGAGCATGCACTTGAAGAAAAAACATCTATCCCTAAGTCCACATCTAAAAAATACTTGTCCTTTCTCAGTTTCTCCTTTGATACACACCTGTGGAGGTGTATCTAAGGAGACAGGCGAACCTGTGGCAGTGACCCTTCCAGCTACCCACAAATGTCTCTGTATATACAGTTTGCTTAAGGGTTCAGAACAGACCTCTGAGATCTTACTGTCCATGTTCACTGTAATCAAAGGCTGCAACAGGGGAAAGGACAAGCCTAAAGAAAGGACTGTAATTAAAAATACTAAGTTGTGCTTTATATTATTCTCTAAAATCCCATCCAAGTCACTGTATCAGAGCAAAAGGGCTTACGATTCACAGATCTGGTAATACTTTTCATCCTGAATGCCATCTTGAATGGGCACATTCACGCTGTAATAGCGACCTTTTCCCAGGCCAACATCTGTCACATCACCAGTGCCTGCAAAACAGAAACATCCCAATTAGGAGGGAGAGCATAGCAGCAGCAAGAGACGTGTGGGATGTCTCAAAGGCAAGCTGACAGCCAGGATGTTCAGTAGTGGAGAAGTCCACTTGCCACCACCAAGAAAGGAAGGGTGGAGGGACCCGGTGCTCTCCTTTGCCCAGTTCTGCCACACAGAAGGGGCTCTGCCTAGAGCTCAGCTACAGCCAGAAAGGGGGAAATGTCAAACATGTAGCTCCCCCTCTTTCCTTCTCCTGGGTCAAGAGAAGAGGCAGCAAGACATGCTGGCTAGACAGCAGGGATCGGACTTGCCTTTATGGAGGCCTCACCAGTGACATGTAAACCAAATGAGCACAAACCTCACAAGTTCAACTTGCCTGGGAAAAATCCTGGTGAAAATTTGTGCAGAGAAACAGTCATGACTTTCGAAGTGAAACTAAAGGCATCCTCAACTCCTATTAAGAAAGGGAAAAAAGCTTTCATGCATCATTTATATAAATGATGGAGTCCGAACACACAGTTATTGATACACGCAGGGCAGCAAGAAGAGAAGAAGTAGCATGAACAAAGCAGAAATGCAGATGTGGCTCAATAAATACATCCTCAATCCACAGAAACTGGAGTTCAACTGCAGCAAAGATCACAGCTGCTATGAATCTGGCAGGTGTCATGCTAATCAGTACTGAATGGATCTCAACATCTCACGTCACTACCCATGGTAGCAGCACTTGCCTGCACTGCTAGGCCTGCAAAACTGGGAGAGGGATCCGAGCAGGGCTGCCTTGGCCAGAGCCTGGTTCTGATTAGAACCAGTGCTACTGGGCTCTCTTGCTTTTTCTCAATGCTGCTGTGGTTCAACATGCCTTTTCCTTAAAGACACATTAAAATAGTGGGGGTGGAGAGGGAAAAAACAAGTAATAGGAAACATAACAGACACCAAATGCAGGGAGAAAACGGAACAAAATGAAACACATCATAAAATTTAGAAGAGCAGGAAATGTTAAATAGTGTAGAAATAATGTCCCTGAAGGATGAAGCAGTTTCACCAAGGCCAGCTCTGACTCCAGATTTATAGCATCAAACCTTCTTTCAAAAGCACCATTTATTACTGGCTGCTTTCCTCTTGCAATGAACCCTTAAACAATTAAACCCTGCCAGCAACTGCTCTGCCAGGATGGGAGACCAGTACACACAATCTGTTGCTTTAAGTACACGACTTCTGCCCAGACCCTCAAGAGAGGTCTGAGGAGCAGCATAGTGCAAGTCTGTAAAGCAGGACAAAGCAGAAATGGACTGAGGGAACTCAACTGCACTGAAAGGAGCCAAAGCCACGGCTGTTGCAGCAAGTAAAGCCCTGCTGTGCAGACAGGCTTTGACTTCTCCCATTCCTCCCTGAGTCTGTGCAGCTGTGCTGTTTGCAACCTTTGCTGGGCCTTACCATCCCCATGATGTAAATCCAAATCGATATAAAGGACACGGTCAAACTTCTGGCGCAGCCGCAGGATACCCAAGACAGCGTCATTCAGGTAACAGAAACCAGAAGCTTCATCCCTATGAAAACAATGTATGTGACATTGAATATTGCCAGTGCAATCACCACTGATCCCAGCATTCTCACTTTGACTTTGCAAGGGCAGGGGCACAGAGGAGTACAAAAACTCAGCCAAGGCCCTGCAGTGACCAAGAGACAGGTCAGGAGCAGCTCAAAACATGGCTGGGAAGCACAGAGAACAGGATTGCTTGTGCCAACTACTTCTCAGCTCTGGGCTTTCTAGCAGGTGGGCAAGCATCAGTTGGCTCTGCTGCAGAGAGACTCTGGCCTCTGGGGGGTACCTCTGACCACTGCACTGTTAAACAAATAAAATGTTAGCTTTCTGCACCTGAGACATTTTAAAGTTCAGAGCCACTCGACTCAAACCCACTCATTCTCTGAAGCAAGAGGACAGTCCCCTTGGCCGTTTTCCTGTGAGTTCTGGACAGCCAGCCACTCCATCCCAGCTGTCTGGGTGACAGCTCCTGGGAAGGTCCTGGCAGTGAAAGGCAGGTTCAAGGCAGTCACAGCATTCTGGATTCTTCTGCTGTTCTAAAGTCTCAGGCTATGAAGGTTAAGCCTCTTCCCAAAGTCATTCCCTCCTTTCTCTTCACAGGAAATGCAGATGGGATGCGTCATATGCAGTCCCTCATGATACAGCTCCTGGGCTCAGCCCAGGAGAGAGTCCCAGCAGCTAAACAGAGGACAGGTGTACCATGGGAAGATTTATCACTAGCATTCACAAGGGACAGCTTACTTGCTGGCATCAAAGGAACAAGAAAGTTTCTTGACCCCTACTCCAGCCTCACTCCAAAGTCAAGTCCCCATCACAACTTAGCATCAGTCCACATGCATTCTTAAATCTTCCCTGGACAGCTATTTTAAAGCAAAGCTTTATACTTTGCAACAGGAGTACACAAATCCCTTTTGCATAAATTATATCAGGATGTAAGATGCACCTCTGGAAAATTCCTCTTGAGTTCCAGTCACATCACTCAGCTCATTTTCCCTGACATTTCCTGCTCAGCAACAGCTGGGAACGATGAGGAGCAAGCCAAGGGTGGCAGAACTGCACTTGCTTTCACTCTCTGCAAGTGCCATGGAGCACAGGTGTTTCCCAGGGACTCTGTTCATTTACAGTAATGCTGAAAATGGAGTTGTCAACAGGTATTCTGAAAATCGGACTCAACTGTGATTATCTACTTCTCCCCTCCCTCACAGCCCACAAGGAAGCAAAGGAAACCATGCTATGCCATCCTGTAATACACATCTCTGAAACTCAAGGCCAAGCAGAGAGCAGTGTCGGAGCTGCAGCTCAGGACCAGCACTTGGGATTCCTCCATGCTACCCAAAATCCACCCAGCAAAACTCGGAGTGTCAATGCCAGAAGGGAGGGTGAGGCTGGCTTAAGAAAAGGCACTTACTCAGCATCTTACCCTCAACCCCAAAGGCATCCTCTGAACCAAGAGCTTCTAAAGCCCCAGTCATTCCTACCTTTAGGACACTGGAAAATAACTAAACCACCAGACAGCAGGTGTTTTCTGACAAAAGGGATTTATTTTGCTAGGACACAAGTCCTAGAACAAAGCACCTGCAGTTCGGTGTCAGTCTGGCTGGACCTTCACACTGGGCTGGCATCTACCCTGAAGCATCAGACACCAACTTACTGGGGTGACTGGGAAGACTGCTTTGAGATCAGTGAGTACCAAACACCTATTTTTAAACAGACTCCTTGCTTCCCAGAACAGTGCTAATAGCTCAGCAGCAGCAGCAGCAACACTGCTAAGACTGTTTTCATTACAGGCATTTTTTAAGCCATGCAATCCAAACAGAAGGTAACAGATTTCCCAAAAGCCATCAGTTCTGCACAGAGTGAGAGCTCGGCTCTGCTGAGTGCATGTCTCCTTTCACAGCAAGTTGCAGCTGAAGCCATTTTCAGCCAAGTGTCCACCAGGAAAAGGGCTGAGACGGTGGTACTACTGGCACTTGCACACCACTGTTACACCTTCAGCATTCCTCTGCCAGGCCAGAAAAGTCACTGGAGCAAGACATCTGCACATGTGTGTACAAGCTGCCAGGGTTAGACACAGGGCCCATGAGAACTCCTGAGGTTCCCCAGGAACACAGAACAGCGCTGCAAACACCAGCTGGCTGTGGACAAGGAAGGGTGGTGTCTTGTCTACACTGCAAAGGGTCCCCATGTTTTGGGAGATGGGGCGGATCAGTTAAATAAAACATACTTCCATGGAAAATGGGAAGGAAACCAATTATTTTACCACTACAGAACCACAGGACTCAGGGACAGAATTATGTTAGATGTCACAGGAAACAGCCCCCCAAAGAATGTGGGGAAACCCAACGTCAGTCCTGCACTGCTTCAAACCTCTTATTAAAAAACCCAAAAAGGCACACAAAACAATTTGGATATGTGACCACATTCCCACTGTGTTCCAAACTGGCAGTGAAATCAGTTTATCTCTCTACCGTGCTTCTTCATGGACCCAACAAAATACATTCTTACTTGAGCTTCCTGAAATAATGATGCATCAAGGAATCACAGGACACCTGTGAATATACCTGCCCCAGACCTGCTCTGCAGCACATGACAGTAACAACATCAGCACTGGACAGTGACCTGCCTCTTCTTAGGCTTCTGCCCTGCCCTTTGCTTCCTTCCTCTCTATCTCCTGCCTTCTCTCACACCTGGCTTTCTCTTCCAACTGGATCATTGCACCCTGAGGGTTCACAAGGAAGCTGGGAGCAAGGAAGCAGGGTTTAGACACCAGATAAGAAAACAGAAGGAAAGAAATTGTTTTCTTACTTCTTTGCATGATGCCACCCTCCAGGCCAGTTAATTGCTACCTTGCACTTGCCATCCAGCAGGCACTGGGCTGCAGTGATGGTGGCTCCTCCCACAGCTGCTGCATACTCAAAGATCCCTTCAGTGGCTGGACAGTCGTAACCTGTAGGTAAGAGTCTGCATGTCAGACACAACAGGCCTTTTCCTCCAGGGGAAGCACATTCCTTTTGTTTGAGCCCTCAAGACTGACCCAGGCTCGATCAACCTGTTCCCTAAGAACTGATCCCAGTTCTCTGGGAACTCCATACTGGAGAAGTTCTTGAAAAACTGCTACCCATAGGAAAGACCCACACTGGAAAAGTTCACGGAAGACAGTGTCCTGTGGGAGGGACTCCACACACATGCAGGGCAGGAGCGAGGAGGAAGCGGCAGCAGACATGTGTGAATGGACCACAACCCGTATTCCCTGTCCCCTTACACTGCTTGAGGGGGAAAGTAGAAGAGCTGTTAGTGAAGTTGAGTCTGGGAAGAAAGGTGGATGAGGAGGATTGTGATTTCAGTTTTATTTTGAATTCTCACTATCCTATTCCATTATTAATTTGAAATAAATTGAATTAATTTTCCTATGTAGAGTCTCTTTTGCCAGTGAGAGTAACTGGAGAACTGGAGAGTCATCTCCCTGTTATTATCTTGACATGATCTTTTCCACTGTATTTTCTCCCCCACCCTACTGAGGGGGAGAGAGAGTGCACCTTGGTGGGCACCCAGCAAAAAAACCCCACCCATACCACAAAAGTCAACCACAAAAAGCACAATCCAAATGTTTTCTTGCACTCAGTTCATTAAAAAATGTGTCCTGAACCAACTTCTGAGTTGTGTGCCTGGCTTGCTGAACTTACTGGTTCCTCATACCAATCTCACAAAAAACTACTCTCAGATCTCTGGCTACTTCACCTGAAAAGCCCTGGCACGTTCACTGACATACCTCTTCCCTAAAAATGGACATCCATAAATGAGTCAAGCCTACGTAAGTTGTAGGGCTACAAATATAATATGATCTTCACTTAGTCCTACAGCGGCCTCCCTACAGCTGTTGCCCACAAAGCATGATACCAGAGCTGCTTGTCTTCCTGTAAAGAGAGCAGCTTCAGGAATGTAAGGAACACTCATGAGATCAAGCAGAGAATCTGCACCTTTGCCTCAGTTCTGGGTCACTCCTCCCATTCCTGAGACCAAGACAGTGCCCACAGCCATCTCACCTGCTTTACCTGCTGCATTGCTCAAGCTGTCTCAGGTCCAGGAAGGCAAAAGTCCTCTGCTCCAGACCTAAATCACTAGACAGACAGCAGCTGCTCTGGTCATTACAGCTCCAGGCCACTGTTCATGCATGCCCTCCCCACAGCAGGCCTGCAGCAGCCAGTCCTGTCTCCAGCCCAAGAGCAGTGTCAGGATCTTCCATCCTGTTCCAGAGCCTCAGAGCAGCAGCAAAGGGCACCAGCCCCAGCTGGCAAGAGACAGACCAAGCTTCACAGAGCAGCAAAGTGAGGCTAGCTGTACCCTCTGCTGGCACCAGGGAAAGCACCAGCCTGTCAGATGTCTGCTGGGGTTCAGCAATACCCCATTAAAGACTGTTTCCTTCCAAAACCAAGCCCAGCATCCCCCTGAGCTCATCCCTCTAACTGCAGCTCCAGCAAATAGCATCCTGGCCCTGGTACTAATCTCTTGCTGAAGATGCACATCCTTACCCAGTCCATATTCCACAGACTCCGGGTGGTCATCATCCCCCTCCTCACTGACCTTCTGCAGGTGCTGCAGGTAAGCATCTGTGTGGAAACTCGCCATTTCCTCCATGGAGGCCACTTTGGGCTTGACTATCCTAGGCACGGAGAAAGAAGGGAGCATATCATGGCAAGAGACTCCAGGGTTCAGCTGGAATGTCCAGCTTTAGCCTTTACCCTAGGAGCCTTCTTTTGGCTGTTACTGTTGTAAAAGGAAACAAAAAAGCAAACAAAACTCCCCTTCCTCTTGCACTGGACTGTCATTCAAGTGAGAAAGCCACCCAGCCGGGCTGGAGCAGGCCTTGCCCCTGGCTTGGCACTGCCTGTGGTGCCCACTCCAGTGAAGAACACCTGCAGGTGCTGCCTGCGTTAACCTTCCCACTTTGCTTCAAGTTTTTTTTTTCCCCTCTTCTGCATGTTCTCTCAGTTTGTGCAATCCCCATCATATTCAACATTCAGGTTACAGACAGAGGAACTAATGGAGGGAAATGCCCAGGCCCAGCACAGCCCTGTGGCAGGACCTCAGCCTGCATCAGGAGCTGCACAATGCCTCTCCATATGCTGTGACCTGCACCAAAGTAGAGACTGTCACTGTTCCCAGCAACTTGCACAGCACTTTCCTGGGTCTAGGCGCTTTGCAGCGTGCCTAAACAAATCCTGTGACACACTGAACCCTCCCCAAAACCTGAACACTGGGAGCACACACAGGCAGTGCAGCACAGCTCCACTGGTACAGGAAGAACACAGGAAGCTCCCAGCTCCAGGCTGGCGCCGATGCTTCCCACCCCATGCAAGGGCAAACAGTCCTTCAGGTCTGCTCCATAACCAAACCTCCAGCCACTTCCCAAGCACACTCTGCCAGAAAAAAAAATTCCTACAATCACGCCACCAGCAGGGACAGTGTGAAACATGAAGTTACTCAGCACCTCCCAAACCTTAGTGGAGAATAAAACATCCCTTCATAGAAAACGGGAGCACTTACTTCATCTGGTCAAGTAAGCAATACGCTTCAATCAGTGAATGCACCATGCTGGCCTAAAGAGAAGAGTTAAGACTGTAAGAGCAGGAGACACAAAGACAGCAACCAGGAGCCCAAGTACTCGCAGACGCGGTGTGGCTCAGACTCCTCCCAGCAGCGACTTTCCCTGCCCGGGTCTCATCTCCAGCCCGTGCCCATGCCCGTGCCTTCCGGTGTCCCGGGCAGAAGCACAGCCGCGCACAGCTTCCCGAGGAAGGGAAGCGTCGTTTCAGTGTCCGAGCCCGCGCTGCCAGGGGAGACGTGAACACGGAGACGGGCCCTCCCCACTCTAACCCCATACTCCTCCCGCCGGGGCCGCCCGTTCCTCCGCTTCTTCCTCTCCTACCGCCGTGCCGGGCGCCGGCTGCCTCCGCGCCCGGGCCTCACCGCTGTCCTCCCCGCGCCCCCTCGCCCCCGCCACGGCGCTGACCCGCTTGGGCACTTTGCAGAGGGAGTCGCAGAGGGTCACGTACTCCGGGCTGTATACGTAGACCGGCGGCGGCACCGCCGCCATCGGGGCCGGCACAGCCGGGACCAGCACCCGCAACGCCGCCGCTCGGGGCGCGCCAGGACCGGCAGTTCCGGCCCCGCGGCGTGCCGGGAGCTGTAGGCCCGCCCCGCCACGATCCTTCCCCCAGCCCGGCCGCAGAAGAACATGCCACCAACTAGTGTTAGAGACATTTTTACTGGAGGCCCCACGCAGCTCGGGGTGGTGTTTATTCTCTAAGAATGTTATTTAAAAAGGCCCGAGGCCTGCACGCAGTACCCACGCGGCGCCCGCCTCGCTCAAGGAGTCGCACCTCCGGGCCCCCTGACCCCGGCAGTTCCTACCGGCTCCCTCGGGTCAGAGAAAGGCACCGGGCAGGGGCTCGCGCCGTTCCAGCCTCCCCTGGAGGGAGCAGGGATCACACAGAGAGGGATTAGCCATGATAGTGATGCCTTAAGGCATCGATAGGAAAGATGTGTGCTAATGTCTCTACAAACAATTCCATGGGCGAGGGTATGGGTGTTGACATCTTAGAAATGGGTGTTAATGTTTCTGCCTACTTCAAGCCACGGGTTTGTTACGGAACCCAGACAGCTGGACTCCTGAAACAGACAAATAGATCCACACAGGCCTGAGTTTCTGAACTTTGGGGGAAAATGACAGGCTCAACGGGAAAATATGTGGTAAGCAGTTCGGGAAGGCTGTACCTTCCTAGTATCTCAGCCAATGGGGTAAGGAAGAGGGTAACGTGCGGCTGGGAGTTTGGGATAAAGGGATGCTGCGCTCTCTGAAACCCCTAGAGAGACTGTTCTGCAGGCTGATGCCCCAGTGGACTCTCTATCTTTATTTGAATAAAGTTGCAGGACTCCTCTGTCTCCTTTTTGGACACTGTCTTTTCATAGCACAATCTCCCACACAACCACATGTACAGGAGAGCCTCCACCCCAAGAGAGCACCTGGCTTTGAGGCCAAACCCACCTGGACATCAGAAAACACAGGCACACACACAGGAAAACATCTGACTCTGGAGCCAGCCCTATCCACAATGAAGTGGCCAATTTTTCTCTGGAAACCATCTCTGCACTCACACACAGCCAGCCCTGGGTGCACCACAGGCTGCATGGGCAGAGTGTGGTGTTGGCACATGGCACGGGCACTGTCACCCAGCTCAAGAGACAAGTTCAGCTGCTATCCATCACCCTCTCAGAAGGAGCTCAGGCTGCGACATCCCCCTAGCAGAAACCACATCTTCTGTGCTGCCTAGAGTGAATGTGGCCCCTCAGACAGAGGTCTCATGAAAACACAGCCATCCAGGCCTCTGGGTGCAGGGAGTGCCAGAGCCCTTCACTGGGAAGGATGGCAGCAGTGAGAACAGCTGTGTTTGATGTGGCCAAGATCTGCCCACCCTTGGGGCTCAGCTCAGAGAGGACACAGAAAGATTAAGGGGCATAAGGGAGTCTGAGAAAAGACTGGTGGAACCAGGCTCTGCTCTCCCTGACAGGAACACCCACCCCAAAATACACAGGTTCAAGGGGATCCTGTATTCTCCCTTGCCAGGTGAAGGCAGTAACTTGGAAGGAGTAGGTGGAGGTAAATCCCCTCCTTTCTCACCTTGCCTCTGTACAGCAGGTATGAAGGTCTCATGCGTATGGCCAGGCAACAGATGATGTGGACGTTAGTCCATCTACACTAACAGGTACTGCCATGGCTGTGACACCCCTGGTCCATGTCCCCCTCCATTAGAAAGATGGGTTAGAATCGTGGATGAGTCCTTTCTGAGGGTCCAATATGCCACACAGATGGTCCTCTTAAGGAAGTCTACTGCCTCCCTGGGGCCCAGGTTAAGCACAGCACTAGGAAACTTCCCAGCCGGATTCAGCTTCACACTGTTATCCACCGCTGCTCTTCCATGCGGGTGGCAAAGAAACTGCAACTCATAGTCCAAGGGCAATCAAAGGAGACTTCAGGGCCTGGAGATGACTGGTAAGGGATTCTGGAATACAGGTTCTTTCCTCTGTCCTTCCAGTTGTGGGCAGTGACATTGAAAGAGATGGACTCAGCCTGTTGAATGTATGGCTTGGTGGCTGATGTCACTGGCACAATTTCAGGTTTTTAAATAATTTTTTAACAAGGCATGCTGCTCTTAGATGGGATTGACCTTTCCCAAAGAGGAAGAGGGTCTTTGCTCAGAGCTTTGCTTACTGAGAGCTGTAAACAAGTCTTGGAGGGGGACATAGATGATATCAGGCCGGCTTGTTACAAGCTGTGGGACATTGCAAGGTCAGAGGGTGCGAGTGTGGGTTCTTGGCCTGTTGCTCAATGTGCTGCATGTACTGGAACACACCTGAAGTCTTAGGGAGGTGAACCAGGGAGCCAAAAGGGACCCCCACTTCCTCCACCACTTTGTGGCATGTGTGCCTGATCCTCACCAGTCCAACTGCACCATCCTGAGTTGGGGCTGACCTGCAGGACAGATTACAGCAAGGATCCACTGTGTCCCCACCCCTCTCTGTGCAAGCCTGGGGTAGATGGGGCAGAAGCCAGAGATAAACATTACAACATGGTTTTGATTGCATGGGTAACACCAAATAGCCAGCTCAGAGCTGCTTCACAGGGCACAAGAACTCAGGAAGCTGTGACTTGGCCACTAGCACCACTGCCAGGGATAGAGTAAATGGCACAGAGGGGCGGCCACTGGCATGTCCCAGCCAGCCAGAAGCCCTGTACTAGCATCTTGGGAGCAAAGGGATCCTGGGTACCACAACCTCTGCAGCTCTGCTGGACAGGACACCCAGCAGGTGATGATGGGCTGCCAGCTTGCAAGTAGCACAGCTGTGTCCGAGGCTGGATCATCGTGATTTGGATGTGCTGGGAGAAAGGCTCAGGCACCATCCCCTATTCCTCTAGCAAAACTTTTCCATCAGCAGCAGGAAGAGCAAGAGCCTCAGCCTACACTAGCATAAATCCTGCAGATTTGGAATAAAAAGCAGTTTTTAACTGCAAACCTGCTGGAGGCAGGGAGAGTGTGAACTGGTCAGAGAGCACTGTAATGCTGAGCACACAGGTCTGGTCAGGGGAACCCTTTCCAACTCCCTCAGAATTCTGGGGGTAATGGTTCAGGAGGAGTCATGCAGACAGAACCCTCTAACACAAGCACACTTCAAAGATCAGCCCTTCTCTTGCTCTGCAGGACACACAGGCACAGGTCAGTTTAGGATACATGCCTTCTCTGGAGTTCCTCAGAAGGCTGTTCACCCACCAAGAGGCCAGGGCTGGGAGGAGAGATGGCCACACAGGCTGCCTTGCAAACTAACCTAGTGTTCATCTTTACAAGCTGCATGAAACAACCATCCCAGAGCACCTACAACCCAACGAGGAACTGCAAGAGCTACTGCATGGAGCAGCCATCTGTGGGCAGAAAGTCGTACACGTACAAGGCCGCTGACTTGGACAGGTAGGTCATGGTGCCAAACCGGCCGCTCGGTGCACTGTCATACAGCAAGCTGCAGATGCCTGTCGACGGATCCCTCTCCAGCATGTGCTCATCAGCGCCCAGGGCTTTCTGGATTTTGAACAGGGAAGCAGAAAGACATCATTAGGAATAGAGGTGATCTCCTCATCAGCTTCCATCCCAAGCATACTCTGTTGCACTCATTGTTGTGACACATTGATGATGAACAGTGGGAGGAAGACACTACAGCTTTGCTGCGCCCTGTGAACACAATGGGGACAGCAGGCAGGGCTCTCCAAGTGGGTGAGCCCTGCACAGCTATGGGGAATGTAGCCAGCAGCCTTGGGTGAGGCCTGGCCCCTACCTGCTCCTCATAGAAGAGGTCATTGGCTATATGCAAGATCTTTTCCACAGCTATGATGCCACCAATGGTGTGCACCTCCATGTCCACCAGCATGGTGAGCACTAAGATAGTTTCCACCAGCAGCTGCCTGTACTCTGGCTGGGGCACACGGTTGAGGACAGACTCCACATGCACAGCAAACTTCATTTCTCCTGGGGTCATCTGTGAGGAGGTAAAAAGAAGTGTACCTAGAGCACTGTATCACCTGCTCAGTTCCTGAGCTATGCTGGGTAATCCCCCAGGGTAATCAGCACATAATAACCCATGTGCCCCATTCACCATTCACATGAACCTCCTACCTCTCTGGTTGTTGAGGAGGGAAGAACAAAGCCCTCCACAGAGAGGCCATGGCACTGCAGAACAAGAAGGAGAGATCATGGTTATAGCTTGGAGAAACACCATGCTAAGATACATAGGTACAGCTCACAAACTTGCTCCCACTTGTGCACTGGTGCATGATACCCATACACCCCAGCTCCACCTTCTGACTCCATACAGCATCACTCCTTTCCCATCAGTTCAGCATCAGGCAGAGCCCCACTGCATGGGGCTCTGTTCCCTGGCTCACCATGCTGTGGATGGGCTGTGCCCAGAGCACCTTCAGCTGTGGCTCTAGCCATGCCCTTGTCTGCCTGGTGCATGAAGCACCTGAGCAGACCCCAGCTCCCCTCTGCAAGGTGTAGGCTGAGGTAGGTCCTACAAGACTACAAGGCAGTGCATGCACATCGATCGTCCACAACTTTCCAAGGTCAGCTGGAGGCCTTATCTATGAAACACATATCTACACAACATCAGGGACCAGCCCTGAGTGTCCCAGTTCCCCTGGCAAAGCTGGTGCCTGGGACCAGAGGCTCACATGCATGGAGAGCACCAGCTGATGTCTAACTCACCTTCTGCAGGACCTTCCAGACCTTCTGGTAGAAGCCCACAGGGACTCGGTTAAGGGCCCCATCCAGCCGGCGCCTCCGCTGCCACTGGCCCTGCCGGGTGTCCGCACTGTCCTGGTCTTCTAGCATGCTTGAAAGTGAGTCCTTTCCCAGCAGCTCTGTGTGCCCAGCAGACTGGGTAGACAAAACAAGAACCACAGACACTGCTGCAAAGTTAAATATCCCACAGGAATGCAGTCTGCTGCTCCTTGAGAGTTTGTAGTTCTCCAGCCTCATTTCCAAGACAAAGCTGCCACCCCCTGACCCCAGCAAAGCCCACCTTACAGCCCCAGCTCGCTGTAGCACGCCCCCAGAGCATAACTCCTTCCTGCAACCACAAACAGGACAAACCCCATGTGTGCAGCCAACAAACACACATTACGAGAGAGGACTTTAGGTTGGTATCCCCAGACTGCAAACTGAGGGGCTGAAGGAGAAAGGAAGAGATGGAAATGAGACCATGCCAGGGCAGGGCAGCAGTCACAGCAAACAGAGCAGCAGCAGCAGCACAAATCAGGGTCAGGCACAGGGCAGTTATCACAGGGCCAGGGTTGGCTGGAGACAGAGGGAGTTTTGAAAGGAAAGCTGCAGAGGGCTGCACACGCCAGGGCTGCAGCAGCAGTGGTTTGTGCTGGTGTGCACACAGGAATAGGACTGCTACCGCTCTGCTGGATGCTGGTATGGGCAGGGATGTAGTCTTGAGCAGACAGGAGGACCAGTAGGAAGGCTACTGCCCACAGACAACCCTCTGTGATGTCAGGTTTTACACTGCAGCAAGTTGGCCCTAACTCTGCTGCATCAGCCTGGACCCAGCAAGCTCCATATCTTTGATGACAAGACACCTTCTAGAGCTCAGGACTTCTCTTGATCACAAGAGGAGATCCTAGGCATTTGTAGCTGACCAGAGGCCTCTTTCCCCAGTGAAGAAATAGCTGGGGAGGCTGCAGGAACTGTCCAGCAGAATCACTACTGGTCATGGCACTGGCAGCATCAGGCCATCCTGCTCAGCAGATTTTGTGGATGTAATAATGTATTTGAGCACAGCTCCCAGCTGGCTGTAATTGCAATTGCTTAGAGGGGAAGCCAATTCATTGCTGCAGCAGCTGAGGGAAGCTCGTTGACTTGTGCATGCAGGGAAGCTGCCCTGGTGCACGGCGTGAGGGGCAAAAGCTGAGGCTGCAGGACCAGGGAGGCTTCACCTTACTCCCAGGCAGAGACTGCCTACGTTTATCCAATTGCTGCAAGAGAAGAAGGAAATTAAGTTTCTGCTGTTGGATGATGCCCACCAAGACACTAGACACACCTGGGACACCACATGGTCCTCCCCATCCCTGCACCTTCTCAAGCACCCCTATGCTCCCCTTGAACTGCCAGAGCAACCCCTACCCACTACCAGATTCACCCCAGCTTTACCTCCAGGGCAGGACTGGAGACAAAATTAGCTCCTGGAAGCATCTGTGTCACCCACTCTTCCATCAGTTCTGCCTGGTTTGCAGCTGGTTTTCACCCACAAGACCTGTCATGAATGGCCTGCACCACCTGCCCTCACCTGTTTGATTTCACTTTTCAGCCTGACGAGGCCAGTGCGCTCAGACCTGGCGGTCCCGACAGCTCCCATGTCACAGATGGAGACAGCAGTCGTGAGCGATGAGTCCACTGAACGCACTGTTAGGGAAGAGACATCTAGAGTGGGCAACATCGCTCGAGGCATGGCCATCCCTCATTGCTGCCCAGGAACTGGTACCTCTGCACAACCTTGCCCTCTAACATAATAGCATCAGAGATCCATGAGCTCTGTACAGAGCTGCTTCAATTCAGACCCAGCCAGGTCAAGTGCCAAACTAAGCAAAGCTCAAACAGCCATGAGATTTGGGCTTGATCTCAGAAATCACTCAGCACCATCCTTATGAAGAGCAGAGCTTCATGCTGGACCCCTCCAGTACTGAAGCCACTGTGCTGAACATAGGGGAGAACAGGGACACACCCCTCATAGGTAGGAACATGTAGATCTGGCCATGCTCTGCACTCAGCTTTGCTCCGAGATGCTCTCCGCTGGGACTCACCGCTCTTTTCCACCCCAAACTCCTTGCCAGAGAGGATGTGGTAGAGAAGGCTTTTCATGTCTGATGGGCTGAGATTCATCAGGTTTTCCGTGGCTTCTCCAGCTGGATAGAAGAGAACTGTGACTTTATAGCCTGCCTCACAGTCCTCCTAGGACATTTCTACCCTGCATGCCATTATATGAGCAGGGGGAGCACTAGTAGAGGAACTCATCTGGCAAGGACATACAGCAGCTCCAGGTGCTGCCTATAACATGGACTCATCCCATACCAGCCCAATACATGCTGGGATGGAGACTGCAGTGCAATCACTTGTTTGTGCTGCTCAAGAACATGTCCAACTGCAGACACTGGCACTTCCATGCAGGGTCTTGTTCTAATCTGAGCTACCCACTTTTAACAGTACTCCTTTCTGGTTGACAGAGCCCTAAGCATCACAGCACCTACCCCAGCTAGAGTGCTGTCCCTGCCACATGTACCTGAACAACGCAGAGAGTGTGCCAGCTCTGTTGCCATCACCTGGATGATGAGCCCAATGCGGATGCGGAACATCTCAGCAAACAGTGCAGGCTGTGTGCGTATGTACATGGCCAAGTACACCATGATCTCCTGGAGGGGCAAAGGCAGATCACCTCACTGCTGTTCACGAGGGCAGACACCCAGCTGTGGGGTCCCCTGACACGCTGGCCCCTCACCTGGGTGAGGATGGACACACTGAGGTTCTTCTCACTGGCTTCATCAATAAGGCGAACGAGCTCCTCATAGGGGATCGGGCTGGGACGTGGACAAACAACGGAGCAGGTGAGAGGCAGCAGAACAAACCCTGCATACCCCCAGTCTGTACAGCCCCAAGAGGAGACATATAGGCTGGGGACAGCCACCCAAGGCCACTCCTTGCCCATGGACCCCAGAGCAGCAGGCTCAAATCCAGACCCAGCCCAGCATGCTTGCAGAGAGAGCGGTGCCACACTCACATGGAGATTGTTTTCTCACGTGGCTCTGGGGGCAGCCCCACCGTCAAGTGTTTCTGGTGGGACAGGAGGTCAGTACAGGCCTGGGGACAGAAAGGTGGTTGCTGTCAACAGCTGAGGGTTTGGGGACTTAGCACAATGCAGAGGGAGACAGAGCTGATGAAGCCATGGTTCACCTGCTCACTCTGCTGCCTCCTCCCTGACAGACCTCAGCCTCCTAGAGGCTGGCTGTATAGCTGTTACCTCATCCAGAGCTTCAACCTTTTTCTTGAGGATGCCAGAGATGTAGCGGATGAGGGCCCACTGGCGTGTCTCCCCCACCCGCACATACAACTCAGTGAGGAGCTCCTTGACGGTGGGGCCAGGCTCGCTATCAAGCCCCGTGTGCCACTCAGGTCCCCTGTGAAGGTGAAGGAGGTGCTGTGTTATATCCAGCAATTTGCCTGTCACAGCAGGCCCCCCGGGCTCTATGCACAGTTAGCCCTCAGGACACAGGTGTCATCCTACTTGAGGATGTGGAGCATGTAAAGGATGTCTGCTTGCTCCTGCAGCGAGGGGCAGATGCGCAGCTGGTCCACCAGTGCCTTGCAGTCCACATTGCCATCCTCACCACGTGGCAAGTTCATCTCTGTGTAGAGTGCATGGCTCTGGGGGGAGACCCGTGCTGCTGATTAGCACCACCAGCACCCTGCACCAAAGGGACCCATGCATACTCCCTCCTCATCAAACAACAAGACTTTCCCTTGCAATCTTGCAAGGACACTGGCTAGAGCTGAAAGGATAGCTCAGTCTGGGAAAGACAGAGCTCACCTTGCTGTCCAAGTCATGCTGATGGGGTGAACTCAGCAGCTTGACCGACTGCTGTGATGCCTGGAAGATCCTGACGGGGACATACATCCCAACATCTAAAAAAAACCCCACAGGTTGGCAGAGACATGTCCAGCCCCAATCACCACTACTTTACCCCAAACTACCTCAGACAGTCCGACACTGCTTCCCCAGCAGTCCTTGCAGAGAAGTTGGCTATGGGAGAAGCAGCCCCTGTCTATCCATTCAGAGGAACACTGCAGGGAGCTGCCATCCTTTGAGTTTTCATGGGGCTGCACAGGCACCAACTCCAAGATACTGCATGGCCAGGACTAACATGATGGACACAAAGTGCCTTTGCCCAGGTAAAAGCTTAGTTCCTCTGCAATCCATGGGAACCCCAGCATCATACAGCTGTGAAAGCTCCCAAAGCACTTCAACCTCACCCTTGGGTTCAAGGGAAGGTGGGGAGGGTGTTGGAGTTACTCACTCTGGACATGCAGGTCCTTAGCCTTGGATGCCAGGGATATGAGGTCACGGGTGGTGTGGACAGCAGCCCTGAAGCGGCTCAGCCCTCCCCGCTGGGTGGTGGGAGGCAGGTTTGACTGGGGAGTCGTGTGCTGCAGCAGGTGATCCAGATACTGAGCAACCTCATCATCAGTGTCCTCTGCAAGGGAAGGCAGCACAGCAGGGGTTCAGCCACTTTGAGTTGTGGCACTCAAAGGCCCGGAGAGCTCCCAGGTGTGCCTCAGCAGGGACAAAGCTTTGCTGGCTGCATGAAGTGACAATGTAGGGCCAGTGCTGTCAGCCAGGTGGATTAATGCACAGTGCCAGCAGCCCGGCACACAAAGCACCCCTGTTCCTGCATCACTCCTGCCTGGGACACTGCCTGCCCCAGATTGGGGCTCCCTCTGTGTCCCACCTTGACAAAGGAAGCAACAGGGCTGCAGCATGTCTCTGATCCAAGCTTCTGCAAGGACAGGAGTGTCTCACTCAAACCCTGCAGGAAAACCCTCACTCTTTCTCTCCAGGGAAGAAGTGGGGAGGTAGAGCCAGAGGCAGCTTGTCCAAGCAGAGACCACTTACAAGCAACACAGCACAGCAAGGGCATCTTCCAAGCAGGACTCCAGCAAGGGAGCAAGGCAAGGTGGGTTTTACAACAATTATTTGCAAGTTGGAGTTACAAGAAGAGTTATAGTTCCTGCCTTGCTCTTTGCCCAGCTTCAAGTAGCTCCAAACACCACATCAGGAGCATCACGAACTAAGAGCAGCATGGAAGAGGGTGCTCAGAGGCCACGTCTCTCCTCAGTCAGGAGGTAAAAGTGAGAGGGGACCCATGGGGAGGAACTGCCCCAGATAAAACACAGAGATGTCAGTGCACTTACAGTGGGCCAGGGCAAAGCTATGCTGCTCTCCAGCTGGCAAACCTGGAGGTGTGCTAGCTCCAGGAGATGAGCTACTGAGTGCACCTGAAGCAGCACGGCATCCCCTTTCCACCCCTTGACAGAATGCCTCATGACAGTGCCTGAAGGCTAGGCTGGAAAAATCCTCTAAGCACCACCCTTGAGAACATTCACCTGCCTGGCTGCACCATCTGACCAAAGGAAAACCTTAAAATTTAGCATCTTTAAGATGCTGTTGAAAGGCCAGGCAGATCCTCTCACTGGAGCTGGGAGGTGAAGCAGACACCTTGGACTAACCCTGATGCAGCCTGTAAGGAGGCTGCAGGTGAAGTGAGAGAAGGGCAAGAAAAATGAGCATTCAGAGTCCCAGCAGTACATTCACTGGCTGCAGGAGCTGCAGAGGTAAAACAGATAGTGGGAAGGCTGATGATGACCAGTGCTAGGTCACACAGATGTCCCCAGTCCTGCTTGCAAGAGGAACAGCAAAACTTGCACCCTGCCATGGTCCCAGCACAAGGGTGGGTCCCTCATACTGTGATGGGCCAAGGCATTCTCAGGTACTCTCTACACAGCAGTAAGGCTTCAGTTTGGCACTCACTGGAGCAGTTCTGTGCAGGGGAGGAGAAAAGCTTTGGGAAAAAACAGATTAATTAATGACATGGTGGCTCTTCCCCACCACCTTGGTCACTGTGCTATCACCTTCTGCACTGGCATTTATGCATCAAAGACCCTCAGCCACATCTCCCAAGCAGAGGCAGGCTGCCAACCCTTTATCTCTTCTCCACACAGCAGCTTATGAAGGTCAGAGCCGCTCTTTCCAGACAAGGTCGACAGAGGGTCAGATGGGAACATAGTGAAAACCCAAGTACATGACGAACACATTGGTGCATACTGGCAGGGAGGTTGGGTGCTATGGTTGTAAGGGTGAGTTAGGCATTTGCACCCCTGTTCTGAAGGAAGAGGGAGAACAGGCCTGTTCTCCCTTACCATCCTCTGCTACCTGCAAGCCATGCTGCCACTCCTCAGCATCTAGCTTCTTAAAGCTGTCACTGCTGAGCCTTTAACTCTTGGCAAAGACCTTACCCTCTGGCCCAGGGTCCATAAAGCTGAGGTGTGTTCGGCATGACGTTGTCAGGAACTCCGACAATTTACCAGTCTGAATTCTGGGCAAGAGATAGGAAGGTCAAATGGAGAAGAAAGGGGAGGTGATACCCTTGCCTGTACCTCCTGGCTCCAGGGCAAGCCCTTTGATGGGGAGAGACACGTTTACCAGGATCATACACACGCTGGGGTCTACTTTAGCTGTCTGCAACTCTTTCAGCCATGAGTGGGCATGGAAGGGCTGCCCAAAAGCTATTAGAGGAATCCTGCAGCCAGGGGTTTGATGACATTAAGAGCTCTGTCCTCTCTTTCATCTCCTCTGTTGTGATTGTAGCCCCAGGGCATGCTGATAGCCTAGCACACTCCAGTGTATCCTCCCCATCTTGCTCCCCCACAGCCTATGCTCTGCCCAGAAGGTATCCTTATAACCAAGTTTTTGTAGGCCATCAGCCCCCTCCCTCCTGCACTGCAGGAAGCTGCACTCACCTTGCACCACCGAAATACCCATCCTGCAGCTTCTGCAGCATCGCTAGCACCGTGGGATGCACACTGCTGCTGGTTTCATCTGTGTGGAAGATGCACAGGCAGTCAGGCTCTCATGCTCAAACTTGCTCCCAGCAAGTAACTCAGGGCCAGCTGGGCATTCAGACACCCAAAGCACCATGGCCAGACCCTTACTCTGGGGTACATGATCAGGCTGCGGTACCAAAAGCACCACCCAAAAAGGGAAATTCTGGACTGTCCAGGCTGGATTCAAGGAAAACCATGCCAGAATGCACTCCAGGCTCCTCAGATTTCACCTTATTCTGAAGCAGTACAAGACAGCAGCACCTAATAGCCCCCTGCTCTATATCTGCCCTTCACATGAGGAAGCAGAGGAGTTGGCTACTGTCAAGGGCAGGAGGCACCACAGCAAAAGGCATGCTCAAAAAATTAAGGGGATTTCAAGTACACAAGGAGAGACAGAAAGGTGTTAAAGTAGAACAAAGTCATCTTCCTGCACCAGGCTCACAGTGAAGGCATGAGCTGCTGCAGGCAAGTCAGTTCTACACTGTGCCTTTGCTTCTTCTGGTTTACTGTTTTCCCCACCTCTGTTGATTAGGAAAGCCTTTAGGAAGTGCTCAGTCTTAGGGAAGAGTCAAGATGTAGAAAGAGCACCAAGAACACTTCTATAGAGAAATTGCTTTTTCTGGTCTTGCCCCCAAAAGGCCTTCCCATAAGCCTATCTGCCTGGAGCCTGACTACACCTGTGCCAGCAAACAGCCCTTGAGCTGAAGGCACTAGTGCCTGACAAGCAACCAACCCTGTTAGCTGCCTGGCCAGCTGCCCACTCAGCATGGCTCCTCTGAGCAGTGAGCTCTTCACAGGACACTACTGGCTGCTCCAGCCTTACCATGTCCCTGTTACTGAGATGGTCACACATCTGCCCAACCCCTTCCTCCAGCAGAGCTATTTTCCAGGGATGCTCTAGCCAAAGGCCTTGCAAGGCTGGAGTATCTATACCGAGCATAGTGTGAGAGATGGGGAAAGTGATGGTTGGTCGCCCAGTCATCCTCCAGCGGCTGCAGAGGTAGGAGAGGTCTGTCCTCAGCATCTCCACAATCATTTTGTTGTCAAGAGCCAGGTAGAACTGCTGCTGGTCTATGAACTGTGAGGACAACAAGAGACATGACTGGCCCTTCATGCAGTCACCAGGTCCTTATGGTGCCACCCATGTCTTTCCACAGGCACGCAGTCAAGCTAGCCACGCTGCACACCCAGAGGGCACACGCCTTTGCACTGACGGCTCATCCCACCTTACTTAGCAGTTGCTAGTACAGCCTAGCAAGGGACCCTCAGCATCCAGGGCAGCTACTGGCCACTAATAACTATGAGGACGTAACTAACGCCACAGCTCAGCAGCAGCAGCATCCAGCCCCACACAGCCAGTCCGTGTTGTGCCTGTTCCAAGCAAATATGCACACCTCAGAGAGCTAGGCTTGCAACACTGCTTTTCCCCTGGACACATGTCCCTGGACTGCCATCAGCCTCTTCTTGGTGTCCTTGTCAGGCTGAGCAGAGATTTTCATCCAATACTCATCATTAAAAGGCTCAAACTGTCCCAAAACCCACACAGCCAGAACCACCAACTGTGCTGCCTCATGCCACAGAGTTGGACTACTCCACACTCCCAGGCTCTTCAGAGAGTGTTGGGTCACACCTTAGAATTCCTTGAGTACCCAGTCATTGAAGAAACTTCCTGCCCAGTTTCATATCACAGAACAGCTAGGAATGAGCCTGTGCAATGTCACTCACCTGTGGGGTAAAGGTAAAGATGCTCTTCCTGATTTTGTAGAGCTTGGAGGTCCCAAGGACACCCATATGCCGGTAGGGCCGTCCAGTAAGGCACATCTGCTTGTTGCGGCCTGGGAGTACAGAAAGATGAGTTTTTAGTACAAGCGTCCTCATGAAAGGGGCTGCAACAACAAGTAGTGCCAAGCTTTTTGCTACCAGACAGCACAGAAATGCTGGTTTGTAGTTGGGATATCCCAGAACCCTGTATCAAGCTGGTACAGCTCTAAGGAACAGTAATTCTCTGTACCCTGACCTGCCCAGAGGGGTAGAGACATGTTGAAACAGCAACACAGCCTGTCCTGACTTCTGCAGTGTCACACCTTCTGGTCTTTGGGCACGTCAGAAGTTGGAGCAGGGCCAGGGGTGCCCTTCTGCATAGGGCTGGCCCCCCTAAGTTGACAGCTCTATCAGCATTCAATTCAATTCAAATTACTCCTGGATTACTCCCAAAGCCCAGGACAGTGCAGCAACAGCATCACCCTTTGCTTGTCAGCTCTGGCAGCTGCCAGGCTGCTCCCCCTGCTCATGTCACACTTGGCCTTTTGGTGGCCTAAATTAGCTGCCAAATTAAATCACAGAAGATCAGGTGTCTCCTTTGGCCCAGGCTAAATCTCTGGCTCCTGCAAAACAAACCCCACGCCTGAGGGGCTACAGCATCAAGGAGCAAGCATGCAGAGGTAAGCACATCCTCCCTTCACACTCAGCCCTTCCCACCCAACAGCAACATCCATCTGGGCTCTCTTAGCTAGGGATGGCCAGAAGACCCTTCCTAGGGCTTGGCTAGCCTCCCCCATCCAGATTTGAGTACAGGAACAGAAGACAATTCCTGCCCACACCAGGTTCAACCTATAGGGATCAAAGTCTCTGTTCCTGGGGTGACCGTGCAACTGCAAGCCAAAGCTCTATCCCTGCCAGAATCACACTGAACAGCACTGTCTGCCACCTTGTTCCCCTTGGCCATCAGTGGCTTTATCAGGCCTAGAAATGGGCAGCAGAGCCCTCATCAGCCAAGCAGAGAGCAGGACACGAGTGTCTATGAGCAGAAGTGCCAGTGGTGGGACAGATGCTTCTGCACCACCTTTGCTACAGAAGCAGGGAGCCCAGCTCACCCAGCCGGGCATAGATGTGGCTGAGGATGCGAGCAGGCTGCACTCTGATGGGGTAGACGTCCACCACAGTCTCCACATCAATGCCTTCCTTCTGCAGGATTGCCTTGATCCCCTCTGTTTCAGCCAGGATACACACTGTGGAGAGAGGACAGTCTCAGGGCAACAGAGGCACGAGGATGTGACAGCACTGCCCCATGCCTTTGGGGACACATACAAGGCACCATACCAAAGAGAGAAAGCTGTCTGGGATCCCTTGGGAACCAGTTCCCACTGCAGAAGTCTGATTTGCCCCTCCTAACACTCTATACATACAAGTTTTCCCCACCAAGTGTCAGGAAGACAGTTTTCAACCTGTCTGCAGAGAAGGCTGCAGCAGGTGATGGTGTTGTGGGTCAACACAGGATGAAACAGAAGAACTTGCACCCTTGTCCTCCACCCACCTGGACAGGGCTGAGACTGGGCTGCAACCCAGCAAGCAGAGCCACCCCAGAGCCCCTTCTGTGAATTCTGCACAGCCAGAGTCTCCCCCACCTGCCAGGCTCAGGGGTTTGGGACTGGTTCCTTTCCCTCACCTTGGACCACCACATCAGGTTTAGGGACAGTTGTGAAACGGCGGTTGAGAGGATCTATTTCACCAGGAGCTAGAAACCCCTATGGAAAAAAGGTATAAAGAGATTAACATTTTATGGGCAGGGCAGAACGGGTGATGCCTATGGACAACCCACCTTTAAGAGGTCCTGGGGGATGGAAGTGACAACTTCCCCAAAGCAGGTGGCAGAATTTGCACCTTCACAGCTCAAAGCCTAGTCCCACAGCCCTACCCGGAACTCAGGATGACCCTACCTCGGCCATCAGACAACCCAGTATGTAGAGGGACTGTCCCCACATGTGTGGCAGCTTGCCCATGGGTATCCTGTCCACTGTATGTGGATTCCTGTATTCTTCATCCACCTGGAAGACAAGGCAGGAGGTCAAGAAGGGAGCCACAGACAAAGAATGCTTAAGGAAGCATCCTCACTGCATCTTGAAGTCCAGCAGTTCAAGGCTTAAAACAAGGCCCGACAGCAGCATTTGTCACAGAGGGTCCAAAAGAGACTGGTTACATTCCTCCTCTCTTCTTATGACTGCCCCAGGCATCTGTGCCAGACAACAGAGCAGCTGCTCAGACCATGTTTGGTTTCCCATCTTGAGCCATCCCACTAGAAGGACTGACATGCCTCAGGAGCACCCAGAGATGCTTTCTGGTACTGGTGAGGAGCACACCTCTTCTGGATGACCCAGGCATCCGAAGGCCACTGCTCTTAGACCAGGCCCACACAAATCCCTCACCACTGAACTGGAGTTCAGCACCACCTACTCAGCCCAGGTCTACTTGTCCTGAGCTCTTAGAGCACTGGGTCGCTGAGTAAGCAGACTGTCAGCAAAGAACTCTTGTGTGTGGGAGCAAGAAATGCTTTGGGAATAAAAACCCCAATTTTTATCCAACACAGTTTCATAACAGCTCCAAGCCATCTTTTTTATACATGAGATTTCCATGAACTACATGTGCCCCTTCAGTAACGATTTGGCTTAATAAGCAGTTAAAACTTAATTATCTGGTAATGAGGCCAGGAGTTTCAGCAGTTGGACTTTCATGATCCTTGTGGGTCCCTTCCAACTCAGAATATCCTGTGATTCTCTAAGACACTCCTGCTTCCCACCATAGCTCAGGGTCACTCACCTTATCTGGTGGGACACTGTACAGCTCTGGCAGCAGAGGTACCCCATTCTTGCCCTTGATGAGAACCCCCTCAAGGGCTTCCCGGTACTCCTGCACCTGAGAAGGGAAGAGAAAGAGGGAAGAGAAAGAGGGAAGAGAAAGAGGGAAGAGAAAGAGGGAAGAGAAAGAGGGAAGAGAAAGAGGGAAGAGAAAGAGGGAAGAGAAAGAGGGAAGAGAAAGAGATCTGTTGCTGGTCATGGCTCCCTTCATCCTTCCTCTGCACACTTCTCCTGCCAAGGACTTTTTTCCACTAGCCCCACAGGTCTCAACTCTCTTACCTGCTCCATGTTTCCAGTGAAAATCCCGTCAATCATCAAGTATGCCCAGAAGAGAGGCCACTCACACTCAATGTTCTCAAACAGCTTCAGCTCAGCAGGTTCATAGTAGAGGCGTTTGGGGTCCTGTAAGTGACATCGAGGCAAGTGGTACATAACAGGATCCCCTCAAACTGGCAGGGCTTCTCTTCCTCCTGAGACGCCAGCCTCAAATGTCTTCTCAGCCCTCCTCTGCAGATGGCCAAGACGGAGCTGAAAAGCAGTTTCACCTCCAGCCTGTTTTCTCCATTGGACTGCCCCCTCCTGAGCCCACTGCACTGATAAGGGAGAGACCTACCCTTTCTGGGGTCTACCTCATTCCCAGGAGAGCCTCCAGAACACCCCAGATGTTGTGCTGTTGTATTGTTGTGCTGGGTCCCCTTTGCCTCGCCTGCTCTGCCTGAGCCTCTCAGCACCTGTCTCCTCCAGAATCATCAAGCTGACCCAGCCAGGTGAGAGGGCTTGGGCTGGTCACACAGGGCCAGAGAGGTTCCTGCAGGTCCCTCCTGCCATGTGTTGCCACTGTGAGCCCAACACAAGGGAAGCTGTCAGAATGAAGAGCTGCCTGCACAGAGTCCTTCCACCACAGCTCTGTGTGGTGTAATGCCCTTTCTTTGACCCTCCCTGCTAACTGCTCTGTCTGCTGCAGAGAAGGGAAAGTGCTGGCCTTAGTAGACTATTCAGGCAGAGAGGACAGAAGGAGATGTCTTCTACCTGCACTCCAGCCATAAGCTTACAAAATCCCATCCAACTCCAGCCAGCTGCATGCCTCTGCAAGCCCTGCTGCCCTTTCCATGCTCCCCAGAAGTAATCCACAACTCTGCATGCTGCCAAAGCTCACAAGCACTGGGAACATTGGATTGGAGGTGCTGCTGCTTCTCTCTGGCTCTGGAGGGGGACAGCCACACATGCTGCCTATTATGGGCAGGTCTGCAGAGGTGCAGCAAAGGAGAAGCATTCAGAGGTACCCATGACCAAAGGTTACAGGCCCAGCAGCTGGTGATGACTTAAGAGCCTCTGAGTATCATTTCCTACTTCAGCAATTAACAAATGAGACTGTTGCTTATAAAATTTTCCTGTTTTCTCTCCACAAAGCAGCAAACTCTCCACTTGCTCCCACGGCCGTTCTGGCAGTACCCAAGCTGACTGCTGGTCTAAGAGAGACAGAAACAGCTTTGTGACCCCCGGAGCTACTGTAGATAAGGCTGTTATGCAGCGGCTCTGCAGTCACCTCCCCAAGCCTCCAGTCCTTGCTCAAGGCTGGTGCAGCCCTGGGAGAGCCCACCTCAGCAGGGCTCCCATGCTGGGCACTGGTCCCACCTTCTCTCAGCCTAAGAAGGACACACCACTGGGTCCCAGGACACAGGCAGAGCAAGCCTCTGGCCATCTGCTATGGGTGGGATGTACCATCTCTCCAATGAGCTCTGGTATTTTGGGGAGCCTTGCCCAGACCCATGACACTGCCTGGGGCTACTCAGGGCTCTTGTCTTCCCAGTGCTCCCCAACACAGCCTTTGTGCTGCATTCAGGTGGGCTGCTGCTTGTCAGTCAAGTACTGCCAGGTGGCAGGGCTGAGGACACTCACCTCTTTGGGAGTCCTGTATCCATCCCGGAGGAAGCGGCAGCAGCCATAGCGCCCCTGGAAGGGAGGGAAAGATTTCCTGAGCAGGAGGCACAGTGCGAGATATCTTGTGCCTTCAGTGCAGAAGCAGGGACAGGGTGTTTATTGCAGCCAAACACCCCCTCCCTCACTCACCCAGCACTCAGGTACCACAATCAGAGCCCAGGGCCACAGCACACAGGGCTGCTTCTTTGCACACCCCTGCCACAGGTCATGGAGACTGGGAGAGGACATGCCCAGCAACCCCCCACAGAACGTGTTTTTGGGAAAAAAAGGGCTACAGTAGTTTGGACTGCAGCTATCTCCTGGGAACAGGAGACAAGGACAGAGATGCTCACCTGCAGCTTGGTGATAATCTCCTGCTTGGTGATTTCCACCAGCTCACTGTCCTCCACAGCAAATGCCGGGTAGGAGATGACAGAGAGCACACTGGCATCCACCTCCTTGGATGTGGAGGCCCTGGGCAGCATTGAGTGGAGGATGGACTGGGCAAAGGGAAAGGAAAGGTGGTTAGGCTGTCAGGCCAGGCATCATACACACTGCAAACCCAGCAAAATCAGTTCCTCCTGCAATAGTGTAACACCTGAGTGGGTCTCACCTGGCAGTGTTGCACCTCATCTGACAGCACCCGTATCACTGACTGTGGGCCTCCCTTGGCTCCAAAGAGGTCCAGCTCATCCAGTGCCTCCAGGGCAGCCTGCAAGTAGGGTGAGACTCAAAGACACGTGTCCTTCATCATGCTGCTCATCTGTATGAGCTCTCACTCCATGCTAGTTCTTGTGTGCAAAAGCACTGCCCAAATTTAAAATTTGAACCCTGCTGTGGCTGCAGAACATCTCTGGTCAAAATGGGACCACATCTCCATACATCAAAAGGGCCTGGGACATTTCTACCACACACCCCTGATTAACTTTTCACTTCCAGTTCAGACAAAACTCAGACTAGAAGGGCACAGTTTTATCCCAGTGCACAAGAAGAGTTTTGCTCCCCAGGAACCTATCTGCATGGGACAGACACTGCACGGGGCATTGAGCATTCATCATGCCCAACCCACCCTCTCAAAAAGCAGCTCAGAGCCACCAGTGGTCCTCATCCCACCAGCCAGCATTTCTTCCCCGCTCACCTTGGCCATGCCGACAGAACTGGCATTCAACTCGGTGATGCCCTGGTTTGTCTTGTCCCCACGCTCCCATATGCCAAAGTCCTGTGAACCAGGCACTGTTTCAGAACGCAGCCAGAAAACCTTTGAATCCCACCCATCCATGGTGCTTCCAGAAGGTGCTCGTGTGGCTCAGGAAGAACCCACAGCTGTTCCTAGACACCAGTCCAGTATCTCCCCAGCACCCACCGCAGTTTTGTAGGCAGCTTCAATGTAGAATACAAGGTTCTGGATAAAGTTGACTTCATCCAAGCTGTGAATTATGTGGAGGCCTAAAGCAGAGGGAAGAATTCACATTAGCTGCTCTAAGCCCACAAGCATACCCAGGATGGGGCTGCAGTAGCTCAGGGATGACTCTTCCCCACTGCATGCCTGCCCAACAGGAGCTATGTCCTAGCTGACTCCATCTCCACTTCCACCCCTTACAGCAGTACTGGGGTTTCAGACTAACAGGGGCTTTTGGAGAGACCATCATCAAGGGGTTCAAACCCACCTCAGGTACTGTGAGCATAAGAAAACAGTGTGGGTCCCAAAAGCTATTGCAACAGCTTGGCACCCAGGAAAGCTACACTCAAACTGAGACATTGGTGAACCTGAAGACCAGCACACTTGAAGCTGCAATGGCAGTCCCCAGCATTACCTGAGGCCGTCATTTGTGCAAGCATGAGGAGGTAGAGGGAGGTAGCATCCATCTGTAGATGACCCCATTCTTGGTCTCCTACCACCGTGGCACAGGTATGGGTGTTATACTTGGCATGCAGGCAGTCCCTGGTGCTCTGACTGTACTTGAAGGCCTCTACTTTCTCCACCTTGAGACAGGCAAAGAGATGCAGGCATTCATTGAACCCTGTCTCTGGAGAGGTCTGACAGCTCCTGAGCCAAGGACTGCCCCACACCACGAGTGGAGCACATGGACTTGTGCCTGGCAGGGCAGAAATTCCACAAACCCTGGGCCATTCTTCATCATTCCCATTCTTCATCAAGGCAGTGAGTGCAGGCTCACATGCTGCTGAGGCACAGAACTGCAGCAGTGGAGGGCCCACTGCCACAGCTGCACCATGCAGAGAGAAAAGGGTTACCCCAAATGCCCTCAGGGGGGAGAGCTGTAGAATCCTAGATCCTGCCAGGCCATGAGACAGGGAGCAGCTGGCAAAGGCTCCACTGGCCTCCAGCCCACAGCTCTGGAACTTCAATCACACCCAGGACAGATGCTCACTCAGAACTTATTTCAAGACTTGCTGGAAGGGGGCCTTCCTTCTGCTTATCAGGGAAGGCTGGGGAGGGCTGGTACAGCTAGGATGATAGCCTTTGTGGTATAGCTGGGCTTTAAGGAGACCACTTGACACTCAGAGGTACTCCCCAGCCCCTACCTGTCTCATCATGCACTGGAGCAGCCCCCGCATCAGCTTCACCACGCTCTGCAGGAACAAGGAAAACAGGTTTGTTAATCTCCAGGAGAAGCCCTGACTCAGGATCAGCTGGCTGCTGACCTTTGCGGGGATCGGCGTCTGTAATCAAGAGCCCCTGCTCACATTTTCACAGCCCCTGGGCAACAGCAGAGGGAAGATTTCTTGGTCTGCCACCAAGGCTGTCTATACAGCAGGACAGAGGGCATGGCTGCAGGACATGGCTCCCCAGCCCTTGAGAAAAGGGCTGTGACCCCAGAACAAGCCAGACCCAGGTATCTAGACCCTCTGGTTGGGCTCCAGTGTGGTCTGGGAAGAGCAGGCTCTGACATCCATTCCTATTACCTCCCGCTTTGGGGGACAGCCGTGTCCTCGCCCTCGCTGCAGTGCCTTTGGGCCCCTGACCCAGCTATGCCAAAGGCTGACCAGACCGGGGTGACACGGTCCTCGGGTGACACCGTCCCCGGCTCCTGCTCCCTCCTACCTGCTCTAGCTCGTAGGCCTTTGCTTTGTCCTCGTCGCGGTCGGCATTCTTGCGGTACGCCAGGCCAAGACCCCACACCGCCAGGACGCTGTACACGTTGTCCCGGACCCAGGCGTCCTGGTGGTCGGCGCTGGCGGGGAGCAGCCCCGTCACCGCGTCCTGCGGAGGAAACGCACCGTTCCCATGGAACTCCCTGGCCCAGCGGCCGGCGGGGCGCGCCGGGGCCCCGGGTCTGCTCCCCATTCCCGGTCAGGGTCCGCACCTGGTGGCGGAGGATGGTCTGCTGCACCAGGCGCCCGTAGCCGTCCAGACGCACGCCCGAGTTGCTCCGGCTCCTCATGGCGGCAGCAGCAGGACCGGAATCGGCACTGGCAGGGCGGCACGGGTCCTGTCAGAGCCCCCGGCCCGCCCCGGCCCTCCTCTCCCCGCCCCTCCCCGCCCCGCGGCACCGCCTGCTCGCTGCCGCCGACGGCGCTACCTGAGCACCGCTGCAGTCCCTGAGCGGCCGCCCCACCCGCGGCTCCGGCCCACGGGGCGCTCACTACCGAGTGGGCAGGACCTGCCACCATGGAGGCCCCGAGGGCAGAGGGCGGTGGTGTTCGGCGCCACCTGCCGGGCGAAGGCCGAGAAACGCTGAGGAGGGATACGCGACAAGGACAGACACACGGCTACACGGACAGACACACGGGTATAAGGACAGACACACGGTTACAAGGACAGACACACGGCTACACGGACAGGCACACGGTTATAAGGCCAGACACACGGTTATAAGGACACACACACGGTTACACGGACAGACACACGGTTATAAGGCCAGACACACGGTTATAAGGACACACACACGGTTACACGGACAGACACACGGTTATAAGGCCAGACACACGGTTATAAGGACACACACACGGTTACACGGACAGACACACGGTTATAAGGCCAGACACACGGTTATAAGGACACACACACGGTTACACGGACAGACACACGGTTATAAGGCCAGACACACGGTTATAAGGACACACACACGGTTACACGGACAGACACACGGTTATAAGGCCAGACACACGGTTATAAGGACACACACACGGTTACACGGACAGACACACGGTTATAAGGCCAGACACACGGTTATAAGGACACACACACGGTTACACGGACAGACACACGGTTATAAGGCCAGACACACGGTTATAAGGACACACACACGGTTACACGGACAGACACACGGTTATAAGGCCAGACACACGGTTATAAGGACACACACACGGTTACACGGACAGACACACGGTTATAAGGCCAGACACACGGTTATAAGGACACACACACGGTTACACGGACAGACACACGGTTATAAGGCCAGACACACGGTTATAAGGACACACACACGGTTACACGGACAGACACACGGTTATAAGGCCAGACACACGGTTATAAGGACACACACACGGTTACACGGACAGACACACGGTTATAAGGCCAGACACACGGTTATAAGGACACACACACGGTTACACGGACAGACACACGGTTATAAGGCCAGACACACGGTTATAAGGACACACACACGGTTACACGGACAGACACACGGTTATAAGGCCAGACACACGGTTATAAGGACACACACACGGTTACACGGACAGACACACGGTTATAAGGCCAGACACACGGTTATAAGGACACACACACGGTTACACGGACAGACACACGGTTATAAGGCCAGACACACGGTTATAAGGACACACACACGGTTACACGGACAGACACACGGTTATAAGGCCAGACACACGGTTATAAGGACACACACACGGTTACACGGACAGACACACGGTTATAAGGCCAGACACACGGTTATAAGGACACACACACGGTTACACGGACAGACACACGGTTATAAGGCCAGACACACGGTTATAAGGACACACACACGGTTACACGGACAGACACACGGTTATAAGGCCAGACACACGGTTATAAGGACACACACACGGTTACACGGACAGACACACGGTTATAAGGCCAGACACACGGTTATAAGGACACACACACGGTTACACGGACAGACACACGGTTATAAGGCCAGACACACGGTTATAAGGACACACACACGGTTACACGGACAGACACACGGTTATAAGGCCAGACACACGGTTATAAGGACACACACACGGTTACACGGACAGACACACGGTTATAAGGCCAGACACACGGTTATAAGGACACACACACGGTTACACGGACAGACACACGGTTATAAGGACAGACACACGGTTACACAGACAGACACACGGCTACACGGACAGACACACGGTTATAAGGACAGACACACGGTTATAAGGACACACACACCGCTACACGGACAGACACACGGTTATAAGGACAGACACACGGCTACACGGACAGACACACGGTTATAAGGACAGACACACGGCTACACGGACAGACACATGGTTACACGGACAGACACACGGTTACACGGACAGACACACGGCTACAAGGGCGGGCAGACTGCCACATGGACGGATACAGGGACCGACGCTCAGGCACGGGTACCTGTGCCGGTGAGCAACAGACACACGGAGCCGTGTGTGGTGCGGGACCCCAGGGACGCACGGATGGGTTCACGTGATGGCGTGAGACTCCACAGACACACAGATGGACACACAGATGGGTACACATACCAGTGTGGGTCTGTATGGATACACACACGTGTACTAGGTGCATGGACAGACACACCGATATGCACGTGGACAGAGGCATGGACACGTCCATAGGTGTGCACGTACACATAGAGGCACGGGCATGCGTACACATGCACGTGAACAGGTGTGCACACACCTAACCACACTGGAACACAGGCACAGGCAGACTCGTGTGCACACACCTCCACATGCACACGTGTACACAGCTGTGCACAGTCTTTTGCATTTCCACGTTTCCATAGCACACAGAAATACACACACACACAAACATGTGCACCTGTGTACATCCACAGGTGTGCAAACCTGTGGATACCCACAGGTACACTCACCTATAAGCACACACACACATAAGCACATGCTTCCCATGCAGATACTCAATCGTACAAGCGCACACACAGATGCGTACACTGCGTACACCTGCATGCACGGGTGCGGGCAGACACGTGTGCATCGTACAGATGTGCGCCCACATAGGAGCCCCAGCAGCATTTGGGCACAGTGGGCTCCTGGAGACTGCAGCACACCTCATCCTGGGGACCTTTTTGGGCAGGTGGGGGCCAAGTGGGTGCTGTGCTGGACTCTGCAACTGTTGGGCGAGAGACAGGAGCCTGCAGGTGCCATGTGCCACCCTGAGGCACACGTAGCCCTGCTGCCCATGTAACCTGCCTTTGCACAGCTGGGCAGGGGCAGGAAGGTGCTGAATGTGGTCAGGGTGCATTTGGTTTATTTTCTGTGCAGAGCATCTGGAGCGGCCCAGCCATGGCATTGCCCCAGGGAGCTCAGCAGCAGTCTCTCCCCAGCCCACAGGACATATGGCTGCCGGAGCCTCCTGTCCCAGCAGTGAATGCATGCTATCCCTTGGTCTCTGGGGGTCTCAGGGCACATTCCTGGGAACGACAGCAGCTGTCAGTGCTCAGCTGTGGTAGGACACACACCCAGCCCTGTGGGGCAGAGCAGCCGTGAGCGCTGTGCCAGGGTGTCCAGAGGGGGAGCATCCCTGAGCTGGGGGCAGCTGGATGGGGGGGCCAAACCTGGGCTCTGCTGAGGGGATGCCTAGGCTGGAGTCACTGGAACTGGAAGACACCACAATGGCGTGCACTGGAGGTTCCCAGACTGTGGGCAGTGGGAAATGACATAGGCATGGGGGTGCCAGGGTCAAGAACTCCCAAAGCTGGTGGGGTTGGGGTAGTTGTGAGGCCCCATGGCTGGGGACATCAGGGTACATGGAGCGGGTACCAGGGCTTGTGGGGATGAGAGACATGAAGAGTCCCAGGCATGCAGACAAGGCTAGGCAAGGGGTGATGCAGGGGATGGTCAGGGGTTCCCAGTCACTGCAGGCCCTGATGACACACTCAGTGCTTTGCCAGCAGTGGGCACCCAGGGGTCTGCTGCCCTCCATCCCCTAGAAGGATGTTGTGTGGGGCATCTGGGGGGCCACATACCCCCCACCCCTGGGGGCTCCTGGAGCAGCCAGAGGGGCAGATGGGGCAGGAAGGGGCATCCTGAGTCTCCTAGCATCTGCCCCGCATGCCCAGACCCACCTGGAGGGAGCTGGAGAGAAGGAAGAGGAGGGAAAGGAGTAGTGGTAGGCTGATGGTGATGCCTGGGGATGGTAGCAGGGACTGCAGTGGCCCTGTCAGCCATTCTGAGTGTTGAGACTTCCACAGTGCTGCAAACTCCATCTGTCAGGTGCCTTCACTAGGCACTGCTCTTCCCAGGTAAAGGCTCTGCACAAATATTTGAGTGGCCCTGGGCAGAGAAACAGCCCCTTGTTACCCCCCACCACAACTGGGGGCTGCCAACAATTCTGCAGGGCACCCATGAGGCATCTGAATCCTGGCCATCACCATTTGCACCCAGCTACAATCCCTGGCAAGGTGCCTGGGGAGCAGCTGCTTTCCGCATCTAGGTGACATGCATCCTGATGTCCCATACTGTTCCCAGCCAGATTTGCCCCAGCACTGCAACGGCACACGGGACACGTCCCCTCTCTGCCCAGTGCCAGCCTGGAGGATGTGAGGTGTGAGGTGGTCATGCCCACTTAGGAGGGGCAGCAGGAGGGATAGTGAATGGGCACCCTGTGGAAATGAAGCAAAGCCTCAGTATGGGGTTTGGGGCAGGGGAAGGAGCTGGGAACAAAGCAGAAGGGGAGAGGGATACACTAGCTGGGCCTGGGGGAAAGAAAGGGGCCAATGCAGCCCCCTGTGCTGGCAGCAGCTCCACAGGCAAGACTCCTGCCTGAGGGTGGGTTGGGTGCGTGTGCCCAAAGCCAGGACTCCTGCTGCTCAGCTGTGCCCAAGGGGCTCACATAGCTGTGGGACCTGCAGGAAGATTCTCCCTGCAAGGTGCACCCAGGCAACAGGCTGGGGTCACTGTACCTGGCGGTCCTGGCAATGATGCAGGCACAGTGCTGGGGTCATCTGGGGACAGGGAACCTTTCCCTGAATCACTGCTCCTCCATCTCTGTGGTAGCACCTGTCCCACCACCAGCACACAGGAGATCTCACTGCTAGAGCAGCCCCTGGGCATCCACGGGTACTCAGGGAAGGGGCCCATCCCAAAAACCACAAGAGCCCATTTGGCACAGTGCATATGAGGACACAGGGCTGGGGTGACAAACTCCAGTGCTCACCCATCTCCAGGTGCCCAGCTGGTCCAAGGGGTGCTGGCAGTAGGTTAGGGTGGGGGGAGCACTAGCATCCAGGGGTGTTAAGGGCTGGGAACATGCCCCTCTCTATGTCTTTTATCATCACTTGCCTGAATGAGTCAACACCATATGCATAATGATTGATAGGACTCAGATCTGCGAGCTTCCAAACAAGCAGAAGACATTCCCCACTCATGACCAAGATGTGGCAAACTGGAGACAAGGGGCAGGAGAGGAGCCTGGGGCTCTGTGGTTTCTCACTCTTCCAGGATGGGAAAGAAACTTTGAGACCAGCAGGAAAGGGAGGGATTTGAGTTGACTGTACCCTGTCCAATATCAAACACTGGAAAAGTAAAAGTGCTGGAACATCCCCATGGAGCTTGAGCCAGCAATAACAGATGGGATTGGACCCTAAGCAAGAGGAGGCCCTGGCAAGAACCATGAGCTGTGGAGAAACAGCACCCAGGTGACAGTGCCCCCAGGCTCTGGTGCCAAGGATGATGACCGCTGCCTACACCTTGCTGCTCAAAGAATGAAAATTTTGCTCCAGCACTGTAAAAGGGCATCATATCCAGCAACAGGCAGGTTTGCTCGCAGACACCTACCCACAGTAGCCCCAGAAGAGAAATGCCTTGGCCATGGTGACAGACAGCCCCAGGAGACCTGGCTCATTGCCCCTCCATGGTCCCCTAGGATTTGCCCCATAAAGAGGGATGTGGGGCATCTCTTGTTCCCAGCTCCTGGAGGCAGCTGCCTGCAGCCACATCTGGTCTCCTCTGTGCCAGGGCAGGTCAAGGCACCAGGGAAGGCACTTTTCATAGGCCCTGCTTGAACCAGCTGGGATTTTTCCCCTACACCCACCCCCCTCCAGAGAAAGTACAAGGGCAGTTGCACAGGGATACTATGACAGCCTATCCAAGGGGGCACCTGCTGCACCCCAGGGACCATGCAAGAACAGACCAAGATGGTCTTTCGCAAAATCAATCAATTCATTTACTCACAGTCAAGCAATAAATAGAGAAAAGTCAGGCAGCAGGGGTGCTGAGAGCAGGACTGACCCTTCTGGGAACAGGGACATGCCAGGACCCCAGCAGAGCCCAAGGCCTGTGTGACAGCAAGAGTGCAAGAAGGTAGAGAAACACCTGCAATGGGAGTCAACCTCTGGGATAGAACAAGACCTGAGCCCTGCTAGAGGGCAAGCCAAGGAGCTGAAGAACAAGTGTGTCACAGGAAACAGCAGGCAGAGCCTAGCACAGGCAGCTGCCTTGGCCTCTAGCACTGGAAGCAGAGATGGCGGCTCAGGTCCCTCCAGTTTTTCGTAGCCTTTCCAGAGTAGAACTGCAGGGGAGGAGAGAGGCTTCCTTCTTCTAGCCCAAATTCTAAGCCTGGTGAGATGCCTCTGCAGCTGAGACTAGATAGGGATGGGGTGCATGTGAGTTGGGAAGGAATGCCATAGCTGTGACCCACAGGCAGGGTCACATCAGATCCTGACACCACCAATGTGTCAAATGCAAAGCACAGAGACACCTGGACTTCTTACCCTCCCTGCCCTGGCTCCACCAGGAGACTCCCAGCCACCTCCTAAGAGCTTTGTACTCCAGTTTAGGGACACAGCTCATCCCTGAGAACAACAGGCCGAGCCCCCCTGGCCACCAAAACCAGGCAGCAGCCATGGGGGCTGCAGGAAGGACAGATGCCATGGGGCAATCACCCCAGCACAGGTTCCTGCTTTTAAAAATCCACAGTTTACATAAAATTGTCATTGTAAAACCTCCCCACTGAGCAGCACTGCATGGGGAAGGGAGATGAGCCAAGTGAGCCCCAGACAGAGCAAGATAAACCCTAAAGTCCAGATCTGCAGGAAGAGGCAGAGCCCAGGGGTGCTGTGCTGGGGCAGTGGAAATAACCGGCAAGTGCAGGACTCCGCAATCATATTCTCGTACTCCTTGTACAGTATGGCTCCACTGCGCTCAATCATGAGGACACTGATGGGGCTGTAGCGGTAGGGCACACGGGAGGGCCAGGGCACATTGGCGTCCACAAGCTGATGAACAAAGCTCTGCACCACAGCATGGTTGGGTGCATGGTAGTCATAGCGAAGCAGGTGGGGACAGGTGCCTTTGCAGTAGCGCAGGTTGTAGCGGTGAGGAGCAATGATCCAGGGGTTCCAGCCCAGCTGTGCAAAACTGACAGGGAAGGAGTGGAGGGAACAGTCACTCTTCTCCCCTCCCTGCTCCCGCAGGTAGTTGGGCAGGTCATGAGCCAACATCCCTGTATCACATTGGTGTCGGTGGGGCTCTGCTGCCGGAGGTGCCAACCCTGCCTGGGTATCGTTAAGGTAGAGAAGGAGGAAAGGATGGCCAGGGGCCACTGGGGCATCATGGCCTCCTGCTCGGCCAGCACGCACACAGACATGCCGCAGTGCCAGGCTCCCCACGCTGCTGTTCCCCAGCGCCAAGTAAGGGGTGATGTCAACTTCAGCCCAGCCATGACGAGGACGGGCAGTAGGGCTGAGCAGCACCCTGGGCGCCTCACCAGCCACCACCAGCTCCAGAGCACAGAGGAGATGACCATGGGCCAGTGACAGACTGGGCAGGTAGACCACAGTGGCTCTGAGGAGGTGCTCGGCCTCTGGCTGGCCCTCCAGATGGTAGGTGAGGACCTGCAAGTACCAGCGACCTGCAGGGAAGCAGTGACCAGTACCCTCTCAGCACTGTGCAGAAGGTGCTGTGCAGCACCCTTTTCTCTCATGGTGCTGCCACAGCCCCGCACAGCAGTGCCTGTGACAGCCATCTGCCCCAGCACAAGGCAGAAGCTGCAGCAAACAGAAGCCATGAGCCAAGGCTTGCTGGTGGTGTGAAGGGCAAAGAGAGTCTGTAACATTTTCCATCCCCTGCACCAACACCACTAGCCTGGCACAGCATCAGGTAGGGTGGGAAGAAGAGAAGAGTACACAAGGGCCAGCGATATGTTTGACCATTTCACCCCTGGGGCAAAGCCTTGGACTCCTGCCAAGTGGAACCCCATGGCCAAGAGCAATCCCAGCCAGGACACTGTAGAGAGGCTGAAGGAAGCAGGCAATAGACCTGACTTTCAGAGCTCAAGCCCGCCCTTAGCTCTGCTAAGCCCCCGTACCATCCTTAGTGCCCACCGGTTCCTTACCTGCCCAGGGCTGACCCCCATGGGAACTGGCCTGGACCAGGCGGATGGTGTTGGTGCCCAAGCTGCGGCTGCGGCGAGGTCGGCCTTCGCGGTCAGCAGCACGCCGGTACAGATTCAGCATGTAGCGCAGGGGCTGCCCACTTGCTGGCCCCACTTGCCAGCCTGGGCTGCCTGGAGCCCGCATTCGCAGGGCCTGCAGGAGGGGCAGGGTAGGGACAGCAGGCAGGGAGCCAAGGGGCAGTGGGGACTGGTTTGCAGCCTGGGAAAGGGGCACAACAAGGAGGAGGAGGCTGGTGAAAGGGTAGGGCATAGCCACAATAGGTGAGTGTGTGTCTGGGGAGGGAGCACATAAGTGGGAGAAGGTGGGGATGGCCAGCAGAAGAATTAGGGAGAACCTGAAGTCATGCTTCTCCCCGCTTGAGAGGCAGAGCTGACAGTAGGCACCAGCAAAAGGATCCCAGGGTGCTTCCAGCTCCTATCAAAACAGGACAACCACACCAGCTGCTTCAGCTTGGCACAGGAACAGAAAGGTGGGGGGGATGCTGTATGCAAAAAGGGGTACAAGTTCCACACTAAAACTCAGACCAGGAGCAAAGCTAGTCCAACAGAGCCTGGCTATGGGAGTTGATAAAGGTGGTGGGGTAGGGGAGTGGGTAGGAGAACCAGCTCACTCAGCCCACCTGCTTCTGGCTCAGCCTCCTCCTACAGGGTAGGAGGTCCCTGCCCAGGCTCATTTTAAAGCCATGGACTCTATCAAGTTTTAAAGAGGCAGGAACTTGCTGGGTCTTAGGGGAATGGGGCCAGACAGAGCCTGAGAGGGTGCTTTCATGTGATCAGAGTCCCTCCAGCTCCCTCCACACTGTGCTGACTCTCCAGCAGCGGCTCAGCACCTTTGTGCCCATTGCTGCAAGCTGGTCTGCGCCCCTGCAGGCACAGAGCCTGGGTTCTGCTCCCCAACAGCCCCGCAGCACAGCCAGGCTGCTCAGTGCCTCACTCTACTGAGCTGATGCTAAGGCACATGGCTGAGCAGAGTGACCCTGAGCCCAGCAGTGCTAAGTATGTCTGGGTAAGCCAGAAGGCTTTAGGAATTTTTGACTTCCCACTTTAGGAATCATCCTGCCATCACCATCAGCATGCCCACAACTTTGCCTACCTTGACTAGTTTCCAGGTCTTTCTGGCAGCACCTGCTCAAAGCCAAGAGGCTGTGAGCACAATGCCCACCCTCTCACAGGCATGGGCCATTTGAGGCACTTTCCATACTGAGGACAGTGACTCCATGGTGCTTGCCTGGGAAAGGCCCTCTGGGCACACTACAGAGTGTGGTGTGGGCAGCTGCAGCCAGTGCCACCTCCAGAGCCCCTGGTGTTGTGCCCATACCCACAGTACACTGTTGCTCTCCTGCTGGGATGGAAGCATCCCAGGGTAAGCACACTGGTTGGGAATCACTGGTGCAGGGATAGGGACATGGAGAGAGCTGGCAGGGTTGCAGTGGTGTCTGTTGCCCACCCTTCCTGGTGTCAGCTAGGCACAGTGCTACAGGTTGGGAGGGCTGTGTGGGGGTGTGTGTGGTGCTAAATGTGCTGCGGGGCCATGTGATGAGCCCGGGCACAAGAGCCCTCTCGCCTGGCCAGGCAGCCCTGGTTACTCATTTGGGAAAGTGCACAAGGGTCAGACGACTCAGTGAAGGTTGGGAAAAGTCCGGGAATGGCAGCAGCAGTCATGAGTGGGGGCATGACAAGGCAGGTGGGAAAGCCATAGGGAAGAGCAGGAGATTTTGGTCGGGGTGGTGGACATGTCAGCGATGGACATATCACGGCTGTATTGGGGGGGAGGGAGGGAAGGACCGTGCATCTCTCCTGGGAGGGCTCCAGCACTACAAATAGCCCAGGTACCACTCCACCCTGCACCCCGTCACACTCTGGCTGTACTGGCCTGCTTGAAGCTGGGCTGTGCAGGGAGCAGGCAGAGTTCAAGGCAGGCGCTTGTGGACAGGGACTACCAAGAAAAACTTGAGACCCTTCCAGCACTGGGAATAAACAAGCTTAGGGTGTCTCACCAGCCTGGCACTGCAAGCCTACCCTCCCGGGAATCCGTGGCAGGCAACCAGGGGCCGCAGGCGCTGCTTGCAGAGCAGAGCTTTCCAGGCCGGCTGGGCTGTCTGGGAAGGAGATGAGTAAGAGCCGTGGCCCCAGGCGGGAAGGGGAGGAGCAGGATTCTCGGGATCCCCCGGGAATCCGTGCCGATCCACTCCCACCATCCCCGGCTGCCATCCGCCGCCTCCTCCTCCCCCGCCTCAATTCCCTCCAGCGGCACAGCTGCCTCTGGACCTGGCAGGGAAACGACAAAGGTGAAGAACGGCCAAACTGCTACACACACCCTAAGGTGCCCAGCAGGATCTGGCCAGGGTGGGGGCTGGCATGGGTAGGTCAGACAGGAGCCAGCAACATGTGCTGGCCTGCAGGCGGTGGAGCTTGGGGCGCCAGTGTGACTGTGCAGTGGGGAGCCGGGGGGAGCCGCATCACGCTACTGCCACCCCCTTGCACCCGCGTGAGTGCTGTGGAACTGCCACCGTGCCAGGCTAAGCTGTGCCAAGCAGGCCCTATTGGTGTGCGTTCCTGGTGGCACCATATTGTGTTGAACCAAACTGGCTTATTTTGAGCTGAACTGTGCATGGTCAAGCCAGGCCAGGCTCTGCTAAGCTGAAGTGTGACAGCCCTGCTTGTCCAAATCAACCAAGTTGAACTGCACTGAACAAAACTGGAGCAGGCCAAGTGATGCTAAGCCAGGTGAGGCCCCTGGTTGTTCTGCGCTGTACCCGACTTAACTTTGCCAGCCCTGTGTCATGTTGAACTGAGCTGAGCCAAGCCAGAACGTGCCAACCCAGCTGAACTGCACCGAGGCATGCCAGGCTGAGCCGTGCTGGGCCAGTTAACCCGTGCTGGCCCCTCTGCCATCCCATGTTGAGCTGAGCTGTGCTCTGTCGTGCTGCACTGAGGTCTGCCAGCTTTCCGTATCATGCCATGCTGTGGCTGGTCTGTACCAAGCTGAGCCAAGCGGTTCCCTTCAGGTCCCTGGGCTAAAGGATGGCATGCTAAGCTACTGAGTAGAAAGGTGCCGTGCCATTGTGTGCCGAGCCGTGCCGTGCCGGCCGCCGCCGTCCCCCCGCGCCTCATTGGCGGCGGCGGAGCAGTCCCGGTGCGGGCCGGCCCCGCCCCGCACTCGCCCCGCGCCGCTCAGCCCGGGCGGGCGGGGGTGTCATTTCCTCCACAGCTCGGGGCCGGGCCGGGATGGGGCTGTAGCTGTAGCCGCCATGGAGCGGGCCGAGGGCCGGCCCGGCGCCCCCCAGTACGTGCATGTGCAGCTGCAGGGGGGCGCGCCCTGGGGCTTCACGCTGCGCGGCGGGCTAGAGCACGGCGAGCCCCTCATCGTCTCCAAGGTAGGCACCGCCGGCACAGTCCCGCGTGGGCTCCGCGGCATCCCCGCACGAGGGGCCTCCCGCCGGTGGCGGGGCGCGGGAGCTGGGAGGACACCCGGGGCGCGGTGGCGTCGGGGGTGCGGGGAGCCCCGGCCGCGGGGTCTCGTGTCCTGGCGCGGCGGGACGGGGGCGGCCACTCGCACCCACGATCCCCGCGACCCTCCACTTAGAGCCGCGGGGAAGAGTGAGAGCGAGAGGGGCGGAGGGACAGCCCGGGCCCGGCGGCAGGAGGAAATTCCTCTGGCACATCCGTTGGGCTGGCGTCGAAGGCGGCCCCCACATTCCCCCTCACGTCTTTCCCGGTCCCGTCCCACGGGCCGTAGCCGGGGGAGGTCAGCCCCCTGTGTGCCCATCCGTCAGTGCCGCGCCCATGGGCGCCCCGGGCACCTGGCTCTGCGGGGTCGTTTAGGGCCACGGTGGGGGAACCAGAGTCCGTCCCGTCATACCCCAGCACCCCTAGAACGCAGGGCCACGACTGCGCCCGGGACGGGGCTGGCGCCGGGGTGTGATGCCGAGCGGAGCCCGGCCGCAGCCCGGTGCGAGTGCTGAGGGTGACCCCTGCGGCCCCGGCGTCTCGCAACGCAGAGGGTCATCGATTCCTGCGGCCCCCGCCAGCGCATCGCCCCGCTGGGAGACTCGCGGGGAGACCCGCAGGGAGCCGGGCAACAGTCAGGGGAACTCCAATAGCCACCCCTCCACGGAGCCCAGCCGGGGCCCCGTCGCTGGATGATTTGGCCGCCCGCCCCCCGCCGGTGTCACCCTCCTGCTAAGCCGGGGTGCGGCAGGCCGGGGCTGGCGGCCCCTGCCTCGAGCCGGGCTGACTGCGCCCCCGGGCCGTTCCACGCCCTCGGCGGGACGCGGGCAGCGCGGTCTGGCTGGGGGAGCTGGAAAAGTGGCTCCGGTCCCAGCCGTGCGCCCTGAGGTGGCACCGCCGGCGGGCGGGGAGCCGGGCGCCGAGGGAGTAACTGCTCGCGTCCCGACTCGCTGCCGGTCTTCGGGGTGGCGGGTCCCCTGCGTCCGCCGATTGCCGCAGGGCCCGGGGATGTTCCTCACCACTTTTGAGAAGGGGTTGGCTTGCGGGCCACGGGGTGTCAGCCTCCGCGCTCCCACGGACACGCCGCCACCGCGTGTGCTCGGCAGACAAAAGGGGCTTGTTCCAGTGCTCTGTGCATTCAGGGAAGGGTCCCCCGGGGCCGCTGCTCCGCCGCTGCGGCCGGCCGAGGTGTGTGCGGGGAGGGGGCGGCGCGAGGGGCACGGGCCGGAAAGGGGAAGGGCGTCCCCGCTCGCGGTGGCGGAGTTTGGCCTCTGAGCCCACTCCGGGCGGGATCCCTTCCTGTGGCAGTCTCACGGCGGTGCTCACACGCGCTCTTAAGCCTTCCATGCGGTTACGAAAGCCCTCTGGCACAGGCTTCCCCGGGCACGTCAGGGGCAAGGACGGAGGTTGGTGTGGGGCAGGGTGGACACAGCTCTGGCACTGTTCTGGTTGTGACTCCTATGACAAGTTTCTCCTGAGACAAGCAGACATTCCCGTGAGCCATCTGGTGCCCGCTATTAGGACCCAGAGTGAACTCCAGGGATGGTGCTGGGGAAGTGTCCTGGGCTAGCCCAGCCAGGCAGGGCAGCAGGCAGCGAGGGTTTGGCTGCCACTGGCAGTGGGGTTTGGCTGCTGAGTTCACTGGTGGCAAAGGCAGAACAAGGGGCTGTTTGTGCCAGATTTAGCTCCTGGTGAGTGATGCCAGGACTGAGCCTGTCTGTCCTGGTGCGTGTGATGGCCCAGACACGGTTGCAGACCTGGCGGTATTCTGCAGCAGTGGAGACACCTTTCAGCTCTGACACATCTCCATGGCCGTGGCAGGCAGGGCTGGGTGGGCATGTGGCTGGACAGAGGACTGAGGTGAAGGTGCAGCCTCCCTTGCATGCTCTGCTGGTGCCCCGTGGTGGGCAGCAGCATGGCAGGGGGTAAACCCAGGTGCTCCACCGACTGCATGGTAGGACTGGGAGCCCTCACGGGCAGTCAGGGTCCCCTGCCAGGAAGGCAGCCCCATGGCTGACATATGGGTAGGAGGGCAGCCTGCCTGCACAGCAGCCTGCTGTGCCCAGCCTGGGCATGGCATTCCAGTCCTAAGGTCCCTGAAAAAAAATGGGAGAACTGTCGGTTCTGGGCACAGCTGTGCCAGACAGGGCCATGGGGTAGAGGTGCACTGGGCGGGAGGCTTGGCTGCCCCTGGCTTACTCTGTCCTAAGGTGACATTTTGTCCAGGGGTAATGGAATGCCCCCTGAACCCTGCCCAACATTAGGGCTGGAAAGTGGTGGCCAGTGGTACATGCACAATGACTGACCTGCTAGGGAGCCATGTGTGCTCCCTGGCACTGGGGTCTGGCTGCTGCCCAGGCTGACCCTGCAGGCATAGTGAGCAGAACTCATTCCTTGGCCAGGCCTGGGAGCAACTGGGCAGGATGAAGAGCCCATGGGCAGGGTGGGTGCAGGAGCCCCAGCATGGGACCAGGTTAGCTCTGCCCTGAAGGTAGCTATAGGGTCTTGCCACATCCATGCTGGGCATGGGGCACCCCAGATCCTGCCCCATGCACCTGCATGCCCTGTGGTACTGCCATCACGCAGTAGCAGCTCCAGTCACTTGCCAGCCCTGTGGTGTAGACTTGGTGATCCCTGGCCATTGCAGTGGCCGGATGGGCAGAGATCAGTGCCGGCATGTGTGGCCCAGCTGGGCACCGCTTGTTCCAGGGCTGCCAGGATTGCACCTACTGGCTAGGGCAGAGGGCATGGGCCAGAGTCTCATGTGCTGGCAGCACCATGGCCTTACTTCCTCTAAGCACAGCAATACAGGGTGCCAGGTTCATTTTGGCCATGGGTGTCAGGGAGGGTAGGCATGTGCCAGGGCTCAGCACTTCCCCTACTGTTGTCTCCTATGGGCATATAGAGTGGGATGGCATCCTTTGGGCATTGAAATCACCAAGGGTGCCCAGATGGGCTCCGTGTGGGGTTGGAAGCAGCAGCAAGGGGCTGGCATCCACTCCGGACAAAGGGCCCTTGTGCTGCCTGTGCCTGCGGGGGAATCTGCTGGGATGGGACATTTTTCTTTCTCCCCTCTCCCTAATGCCCTTGCTCAGAAATTCATGTGACCAGAGAAGGGGGAGAGCCTGGCCCCGCAGATCCCTCTGTGGTGCCTGGGGCTCAGCACCTTCTCTGAAGCCTCTTTTCCCCCTGACACGTAGTGGCCTTGGAACATCCCCTGGGGTATTCTGGGGGCTGTGCCCCCCCCTTGATGCTTCTCTTTGTCACCCAGGTGGAGGATGGGGGCAAGGCTGCACTATCCCGCCGGCTGCAGCCAGGTGATGAGCTGGTGAACATCAGTGGGACGCCGCTGTACGGATCCCGCCAGGAGGCCCTGATCCTCATCAAGGGCTCCTACCGCACTCTGAAGATGGTCGTTCGCAGGTTGGCGGTGCTGTGGAGGGGACACAGGGAGGGCCAGTGGGGCTTTACCTGCCTGGGTGACTGGCAGGAACCTGGAGGTGCCCTTATCTCCAGCTTGGAGGTGTCCCTCGCTGGGACGGGGTGGGGAGCAGCTGCTGTCAGCACTCCCGCTGAGTGGGGGTTCCCCAGCCAGCAGAGCCAGGGCAGTGTGTTGGGCTCGCCACCCCCTCGCTGGGCGGTATCCTCAAGTGTGGCCGCTCCTCTCCCTTCCTGCCTGCCTGCCTCCTGCCTGCCTGCTTGCCTGGGAAAGGAAGGAGAGGCAGGGCTGGGCCTTGCAGTCCCTTCCCCCCCCAACCCCTGCAATTGCATCCATTCTCTGGCTGCATCCTGACCGACTCCAGCTCCAGCAGCACTCAGGGGCAGGGACGGCGCAAGGGCACTGCCCAAGGGGCAGGGGTCCCATGGGACTGTGCTGGGGCTCAGCATCATCCATGGTGAGTTTGGGGGTTCTGGAAAGTCCCTGTGCTGACCTCACAGTCTTGACTGACCTAGTCTCGTCCAGTCAGTAGATGCTGTGGCAGCACTGGGCAGCTGGGAGGTACAGGAGGTGGCTTCTGACCATGTCTGTGCAGTGGCATGTGCTGGGGGGACTGGAGAGTCCTATAGATACTGTGAGGGGTGGGACAGGGACCAGCACAGGACCCTTCCCGGAGACATGATGTGGCTGGTGCTTGCGGCAGATGCTGTGGGACAAAGGAACAAGGGGGAAGGTCAGGCTTGTGGTAGAGACTGACATGGCCCCAGTGTCCCTTGGTGGAGCCAGTCCAGTCCCAACAGGGACACTTGCCCTACTCAGGGCTTTGCCTATGGGCTGTGCGGGGGCAATGTCCTCGGTCCCCTGTTGATACGGTAACAGGAATGCTGCAGTCTGGGGAGCCTTGGCCACCTGGGTGAGCTGTGGGATCCCCTTGCCCAGTGCTGGGTGCTTGCAGGGCTGGACCCTCCTCGCTTCCATCCCCTTTGGGCGGGCACTGGCCTGGGGGGGACAGGAAGCCCCGTAGGAAGTGACTTCAGCCCCGGTTCCTTGGCCTGGCTTCCTCCCCATTCTTGTCCTTTCCCGCTGTTGCTCTTGGCAGGAGGAGCGTGCCCGTTCTCCGGCCCCATTCCTGGCACGTGGCCAAACTTGCCGAAAGCCGCCCAGACGTCCCCACCATGCACTGCCCGGCTGATGCCTTCAGCCTCTCGTGGCCATCGGGGTGTGATGTCAGGTGAGACCTTGGGGGCACTTATGAGACTGCACATGGGGAGGGGGCAGATGGGACATCCTCTTGGGTTGTGGCACTGGGGGTGGTGTAGATGTTTGCATACACTACTTTCAGGCATCCCTCCTCGTCCTGCACTACCCTTTCCCCTCTCTGTTTACTCCCTGCTCCCGGCAGGAAGGGGCGGTGGCTCTGCTGGAGACAGCCAGGAGCTGCTTAGTCCCACTGCCCCCACTGCCAGAGCTGGGAGGTCTTGGGTGGCTGGAGTCACACACACCCTGTGTTCCCTATGCCTGCTCCCCTTGCCAGTGCCAGGCAGCCTTGGTGGTGGCCCCAGCCTGGGGGTGAAGGGAAGGCTGGGGCAGTGGTGCCCTGCGCTCTGTTGTCGCAGGGAGGGTGTATGTGTGGGGGTGGGCTCCATGGGATCTCTGTGAAGCTGGATGGGGAGCAAGTGCCTGTAATGCTGGCATGGGGCCAGGCAGCAGAAAGCTGTCGCTGCAGTGGAACCCACTGTCCTGGCACTGCAGCACTGACCGGAGCAGCTCCATCGGGAGCATGGAGAGCCTGGACCATCCCAGCCAGGCCTACTATGAAGGAGACCCCTCACCCGTTGACCAGGGCATGTACCACAGCAAGCGGGACTCGGCCTACAGCTCCTTCTCTGCCAGCTCCATCGCCTCTGACTGCGCCCTCTCTCTCCGTCCTGAAGAGGCCGTGTCCATTGACTCCAGCCTCCAAGGCCCCTGCAAAGCCCCTGACAGGCGCTACCTGAGCACAGGAGCTGAGCCAACTGCCAGCTGGCACCCTGAGGCCTGGCGGGCACCTGTGCCCCCTCAGCCCCCCGTCAGGAGGGACAGCCTGCGGGCAGCCCCGGCTGGCAGAGGGGACAGGCGCCAGGCATCAGTGTCAGCGGACATGCTGCATGCCAAGGGCCGGTGGATCTCTGACACCTTCCTCTGCCAGCGGGATGGGGAGGCGGAAGTAGTGGGCAGGAGGACATCGGCACCATACCCCATGAAGGACCGTCCCTCTGCTGACCAGTATTGCGTGCTGAGCTCCCACCCGGACCGACACCCAGCTGAGCCGCTCCTGGGGGAGAGCATGGAGTCTGACAACCAGCCATACCTGGCTGACAGCAGGCACCGAGTGCCTGATGCCATGACAGCAGGTGACAACCCATTGCTGTCTCCTCTCAAGGGCCTCATGTCGCATCGTCACAGTGCTCCCGAACAACTGTTGGCTTCCCAGCTCCGCTCCCTCCAACTGGGCACCAACAGCGGGCGAGCCTCGCCAGCCCCCAGTGGGCAATGCTGGACCTTGTCCCCACTGCATCCTGAGGGCAGCCAGGGGGGAGCCACAGGGGCCGCCCAGGACCCCCCGCACTGCTCAGAGCCTTGCTGCTGCCCACCGCCCTGCCGCTGCTGCCCTGAGCTGCAGCAAGCCTGCGGGCAGGATGGCCAGGGGACCAGCCCAGCACTCAGCACTGAGGGGCCAGTGGAGGAGGAGAGCCGGGGAGGGGGCCGGAGGGCTGGGGGTCCTCCCCACCGCTCTGCTCAGATGCGCCGCCGCAGCGACCGCTTTGCCACCAGCCTGCGCAATGAGATCCAGCGGCGCAAGGCCCAGCTGCAGAAGAGCCGGGGCCCTGGGGCACCTCTGCCTGGTGAGGAGCCAGTGGAGGAGACTGAGGAGCCCCCCGAGGGCAGTGTACTGGCAGAGCGGCCTCTTGCCCTGCCTGAGTGTCTCAGCCCCGCACCGAGTGAGGACAGCAGGAGCACCAGCCGCTCTGCAGACCGGGGTATTCCCACCCCTGACCCAGTGCCAGCCCCCAAAGGGCCCCTGTCCCCTGAGCGGGTGGTGCCAACAGCCAGGGGCCGCTGGTGCTGGTCCCCGGAAAACAAGCTGCAGCAGCAGCACTCGTCCAGCCCCAGTGAACTGGAGGGCTATGGCCAGGGCCCGGCAGCCCGCAGCTCCCCACCACGGAGCAGTGACGAAGCTGTCCTGCTGCCCTTCGCTGACCGCCGCCGGTTCTTTGAGGAGAGCAGCCGACTGGCACCACCCCGCTACAGCAAGCCACCAGCAGGTGATCCCGGTGCCTTCCAGCCCCCTGGCCCTGAGCACCGCGATGTGCGCCGCCTCTCTGTGGACCAGCCCTACAGCCCCCCCTCACCCAGCCGCCCTGGCTCTGCTGGCCCCTATGCCGAGTGCTGCCAGGAGCAGCCCCACTGTTACAAGCCGCTGGGGAGGCCAGGGGACCTGGATTACCGGCGGGGCTTCTCCTACCCCTGTGGGGTTCCTGTGCGCCCTGAGCCCTGCCGCTACTGTGGAGGGGACCTGTGCCCACCACCGCTGCCCCGTGGCCGCACCTGCCGCTGTCACCCTGTGCCCTGGGTGCGCTGCCCTGACTGCTGCTGCCCAGCCCCCCATCCTGGGCGAGAGGAGAGTGATGCCTGGCCCCCCAGGAGAGCTTTTGCCTCAGTGAGTAATGCCCTGTGGGACTGTGCTGGGGAGCAGCACTGACACTACCTTGCACCCCTGGACCATGACCCTGAGTTGGGATGTGGGGTACTGTGCCCCCCATTAGCCCTGCAGACCTCCTGCATGCCTTCTGCACCTGAATGGGGATGGGACAAAGGTTCTGGGGACGGCATTACACACTGCCTTCCCCCACACACAGGAATTTCCTCAGGATGAGTGGGAACCACCTACAATAACCAGGAAAGTCAGCCAGTCCATCAGGTGAGCCTATGCCAGGTGCCACTCAGTGAGGACCTCCACCGGGGGCATGTGGAGACTGCTATGATTTTGATTGGGGATGTACAAAGTGCTTCCCATACTGCCTTGGCCATCCTTGGCGTGGTGCCCTTTGAGGCGGGAGGGGACACGCAGGACAGGGGGGTGTGAGGAGGTGTCCACAGCAAAGGTGGTCCATCCTTACCCTTCCCTAAAGGTCTGGGGCCATCTTGGGGGGGCTGTGCCCGGCAGATGAGCCTGGGTTTCTCCCACCAGTGTGACTGGATGACTAACTGGGGTAAATGAGGCAGGGCATGAAATGGGCCTGAACTGCCAGATGGGTGACTGTGTGCGGGAGGACGGGTACCTCATTCTCTTCTTAGTGAGCTCTCCAGCTACCCACTGGGTTTCCCAAGGCTTGGCCCATTCCACACCTGCCTTGAGAGCACCGAACCAGAGTGGCCACCCTGCTACCGGGCCACATCCACGCATGACCTTTTGTGGGATAGTGACCGCCTGGCTCACGCCCCTGAGAGCCCCCCGGATCTGCTGCACCGCCCACTACGGGGAAGAGCCTTCTCTGAGAGCCACCTCAACCTGGAACCTTCCAGCCCCTGGGGCCGTGACCAGAAGGACCTTTTTCGTGCCAAGCTCGACCCTCCCAGCATCCCCAAAAAGAAGGGCCCCCCACCTCCCCGCCCACCTCCACCCAACTGGGAGAAGTACAGGCAGCGCCGGGCATCCCAGCACCCTCCAGATGGTGCTGGGCATGGCTCTGTCTTCTCTGCTGCCCCAGTGCCAATCCACAGCATTGCTAAGGTAGTGAGGGAGCGGTCACAGAGCCTCACCGGGGAGCAGAAAGGCCAGTCCTGGGGGCACACTGCTCGTCCGCCTGCTCCACCAGGTGCCTGGCCCCGACCTGAGCCACCCAGATCACTCCGCAGGACTCCTGGGCCTGATGCTGCCAACGCTGAGATTTGCAGGCAAGTGGTGCCACAGCATGGGGGGTTGGGAGTGAGAAAGCGGGCACAGCCGGGACACATGAGGGGGTTTTTGTGGTCCCTTGTACCCTGTATCAGAGCATCCTAATCCACCCCTTGGAGCACCCTGTGGGGGTCTTTTGCATTGAGGGGTGTCGCTGACCCCTTTCCCTGGCATGGCCATAGCCTTGAGTGTCCCTGCCCCCATGGGTGGGCAGGGGAGCTGACATGCCCTGGGTGGGTGTTGGCAGGGTGTCAGGAGCTGGGGAGAAGCGGACAAAGATGAAGCAGTCCTGGGAGATGGAGGAGCAGCCCCAAAGGCTCATCCAGAACCAGGAGCAGGGCTGTGCCAGTCCCCATGGCGGGGGTGAGTGCTCCCTGTCCCTCCATTTTGGCTCTGGCCCTGCCCTGCCCGAGGCAGTCAAGCCCAGTTCTGAGGCAGTGGAAGGGCTGAGCTGCCAGGGCAGCTGGCCCCAGTCCCGCTGCATGGACTCCAAGGAACGGCTGTGGGACGTGGCTGTCAGGGACCATTCCCTGGCCAGTGCCCTGGCCCCCTTGGCTTCCCCTGGCACCGCCACTGAGGTGATGGGTGAGCTGCTGGTGACAGGGGAGCAACAGGCCTGGCGGAAGCGTCTCCAGCAGGACTGGCACCTGGAGGCCCTGGCACAGGACAGGTAGGGCTGGCACGGCACTGGACCCCATGCCAGGGGTAGGCTGACACCCACAGTATTCATCACTGTATCTCTGTCTCCCCAGGCAAGGTTTCGAGCCCATCTCGCCACCTCCCAGGAGTGCTGCCAGCTCCAGTTCCTTCTCAGTGCACTGTGGTGTTGCAGTGGGCAAAGCTGAGCCACTCAACAAGGTAAAGGCGCTGCCGGAGGTAGTGGAGGGGAGCTCGGAGGAGGAGGAGGAGGAGGAGGTGGACCGTGAGCTGGTGGAAAAGAAGGTACAGATGCTGCTGGGAACAATTCTCTCATGGTTCCCCACTGCCCTGGTCAGGTGTTCGTGGAGACTGGGGGCATTCCTAGATGCTCACAGGGACTGAGGCATCATTGGCTGCTTCTGGGAGCTGGGGACATCACCAGGCACTCAGGGGTACAGGGGTCATTGCTGGATGCTTGCTGGGACCAGGAACATTGCCATATACTCACAGGGGGTTGGGATACGCCAGATGTCTGCAAGGACCATGGGCATTGTCGGGTGCTTGCAGGACCTGGGAGTCTCACCAGACGCTTGTGGATGCTTGCAGGGACTGGGATATTTCCAGATGCCCACAGGGACTGGGGGCATCATTAAGTACACATGGAGCAGACTCCATTGACAGAGCCTTATGGGGGCTGGGAATTGCCAGTAGCTCATGGGAACCAGGGGTACTGCAAGGGTCTTGTGTATTGTGGGCCCCAGCACAGCACCCCTACACCTCTGTGCCAGTCCCCTGATCCCATGGGGAGTGGCCCCAGTTACCCCTGACCCCTTTGCTCTGGCAGCTGCAGCTGATCGACAGCCTGAGCCGCAAGCTGGTGGTGCTGCAGGAGGCACAACGGGGGCTGCAGGAGGACATCAGCGCCAATGGGGCACTGGGTGAGGATGTGGCTGCCCGCCTGCAAGCCCTCTGCACCCCAGGGGAGTTCGACAAGTACCGCCTCTTCGTGGGTGACCTGGACAAGGTGGTCAACCTCCTGCTCTCCCTCTCGGGGCGCCTGGCCCGGGTGGAAACTGCCCTGGGCAGCCTGGGGCCGCATGCCCCTGCTGAGGACAAGGTGGGCTTGGGGGAGGGGACCCTCATCCATGAGGTTCTAGGCTGCAGGATGCCCTGCCAATGCCAGCTGTCTCGCCCACAGCTGGCCCTGCGGGAGAAGCAGCGGCTGCTGGTGGCACAGCTGGAGGATGCCAAAGAGCTGAAGGAGCACGTGGGGCGGCGGGAGGAGGCAGTGGGTGCCATGGTGGCGCGGTACCTGCCCGCCGAGCACCTCCAGGACTACCAGCACTTTGTCAAGATGAAGTCGGCCCTCATTGCTGAGCAGCGGGAGCTGGAAGAGAAGATCAAGCTGGGCCAGGAGCAGCTCAGGTGCCTGCGTGAGAGCCTTGGCCAGGCCTCCAAGGACTGCTAGCCCCCTATCCAGCATCCGTCCAGGATCCTGGCTGTGATCCCAGCTTGCTGCCAAAGCGGATCCAACCCCTTGTGGGCTCTCCCTGTGTCTGTCCATTTGTCCAGCCCCTGCTTTTTATTTATTTTTCTGATTTACCAAGCAGGGCAGGGGTTGCCAGTCCAGGTGCTGACAGGGGCTGTTGTGCCACGGAGTTGTCATGGGCTCTTGGCCACTCAGTAGCCTGTGGCTCAGCAAGACCAGATGGATGGATGCTATCACCAGTCTCATGGGCATTTCTGTGCCTACAGGGTCCCTCCAACTTGTCCTGGACACCAGTGCCTGTCTTGTATCTGGTGTACATGACTTAAACACCCCCCAGCTACCCCGGAGCATATTCATGCAGCACCTGAAAGGGTTAAACTGTGCTCACCCTCTGTCATGTCTGTTTGTCCAACTCTGTCCATCTGTCCGGTGGGAGCTGAAGGAATTTCAGCCCCAGCATCCTCTTCCTCCCCATTGTGTCAGAAACAATGGCCCCAGCCAGAGGGTTCTTAACCCACTCCCTGCTGGCTGAGGGACCACAGGGGGCCAAGGTGAGTACCAGTAGGTGCTGTGTACCTGTGTCTTGGGATGGTACCATGCCAGGGCATGGGATTCTGGGACAGTACACTGAGGCCTGTAGCTACCCTGTCACCAATGCTGTGGGCATGAAGACAACCGGGCTTCATCCAGCCCTCAGCTGGATGCTTCTAGCTCAACACCTGGAGTGATTAATTGAGGAAGAACCACATTAAGGACAAAATGGGGTAGCTGTCCCCTCCTTTGTCCTGCAACAGCCACAAATAGCACTTAGATGTCACCCCTGCCACTGTCTACCTGTCTCCATAGCAGGAGCAGGTGCCTTCATACCGATTTTGCACAATGGTTTAATGCAACCAGCAGGAGCTTTGGGGCAGGGGTGTAAATGTTTCGTGGAGGCAGGTGGGCTGCAGTACTTTGGGGTGGCCCCATAGCTGGACATCCCAGCCCAAGGTTCAGGCAGCATCCATGTCTGCCTGTGTGCTCCAGCAGCAGCCCCCTGTGTTGCTACCCCTGCTCTGGACTACCCTTAGCCTGTTAAACACTGCACCCCACATCTGTCAGGCTGTACTGTGGGATGGTGCCTGACAAGAGTGGGGTTCTCAACATTCCCTCCATCTCAGCCAACCCCCAGGATCATTGTTAGGACCAAAGACTGCACCTCCTGTGGGCCATGCTGCTCTCACGGTGGAGTTCAGCAGCTCTGTACAGGGCCCTGTGCTGGAGGAGCTGCCAGTGCCTGCATGTTACTGCATGCCATTGTATCTCTAACAGTAAAGCAGCAGCAGGAGCTGCACATCTGTCCCAGCTGTGTCTTGCATGGTTTGTCCTTGTGCCCCAACAAGTGGCATCAGAGCAGGGAGGGGGTAATTGCTCCAGCTGGGATGAACCAAGGTTTGGCAAGCTCTTGGGAGCTGAATGCCCCTGTGGGATGGGGCACCTGAAGTGCAGCTGTGAGCAGGGTGTCTTCTGCACCCGGTGCTCTTAGGCTGAGCTGGGGCACGGGTCAGTGCCTGGACCCTTCCGCGGGGATGCACGTAGGGGTTCAGAGAACTTGGGCGGTGGATACAGCGTTTCCCCTGGCAATCTGCCAGGGCATAGCTGCCGGAGCTTTCGGGGCAGCCCCGGGGAGGGCGTGGCCGTGCCCGGGGGGATGTCGCCGTGCAGGTGCCGCGGTTCCCCACGGTGCGGCAGGGGGGTGCCCGGGCCGTTCCCCGCGGGAGCTCCGGGGCGGCGGCGGCCGCTGGGAGGCGCCAGTCCTCGGCCGGAGCGCGCGCGTGCACGTGGGCGGGGCGCGCAGGTGTGCGCGGGCACGCGCGGGAGTGGGCAGGGCAGCGCGCGCGTGCACAGGTGTTGGGACGGGACGCCGGCGATGCTCCGGTGGGTCCGCGCGTTGGAGCACAAGTGCACGGGGCGAGTGTCAGTACGGGCGAGCGCACAGTGGGATACACACGTGCACGCGCAGGGGAGCGCGTCGGCGAGCGGCCGAAAGCGTGTGGGGTGCGAGCATGTGGCTGCGCGGCGGATACGGGCACGCGCGCGTCAGCGCACGCAAGCAAACGCGTGCGCGCACAGGTACGCGTGTGCACATGCATGTGAGCGCACGCGCACGCCGGTGAGCACACGTGTTCGCATAGTGGAACACATGCCATTTGTGTGAGGGCAGGTGTGCAGGGCACAGCCCCATGCTGCTGCTCACAAGCACTTGAGGTGAGTGACTGCACGTGCAGGTGAACACACACACGGGGGAGGGAACTTGTCCTATGGCTGATGTGCAGATGTGAATGCGAGCACGTGTGTGTGTACATGCAAGTGAGCCGATGCACACGTGGGTGAATGCATGCACAGGTGTGTGAGTTCACAGGGCTACTTGTGCAAGTCCTTGCATATCGATAACTGCAGGCACAAGGAAACTGTGCCCCATGACCCATTCAGAACCCCATTTCCCCTCCATGCAGCTCCAGATGCTGCCAGGTAGGACCGTCAGCCCAAGGCATGGTGGCATGGCCAGGTTGCTGGGTACTGGGACCCTCAGTGCTGGATATGGCCATGGCATAGGGTGTCCTGGGGATCCCCCTGTGACACCCCAGAGGAGATGCAGGCTAGCAGGCCCATCATAGTATTCAGGGTCCTAAGTGTCCCAGAGTTGCAAACAAAACCCACAAAGGTGGGGTGGCCCCTGGCCCTGGTGTCTGTCTCCTCATTGCAACGATCTCTTAATTTTACAGATCCCAGCTCTGTCCCACGATATCCCATACATCTGAGCTGGGGAAGGATGAGGACATGGCAGGTAGTGATGCTTTAATGAGAGATCCCTGCCACATGTGGGAGATGGGGAATCCTGAAGCATACAAACCCCATGGTAGACTCCCTTCACTCCCACAGTCCATTACAGCTCAAAAGGGAAAGCCATGCATTGGGAAGGGACAAGAGAGCCCTCCCCGGCCCTGGGCTGGGACAGCATGGCCCAACAGGAAGGAAGGGAAATGGGGCTCTGCCACCATGGAGAGCCCAGAGCAGCAGGGGGTGAGATGGGCACAGGGGCCCATGGGACACTGTGGGATGAAATGTGAGGTCAGACCCTCTCTCTCTAGACATGGGCTGTTTGGTAGCACCCCCCCCCCCAGTGTGCATCCATGTGTGTGTGCTCCAACACACACGCCAGAGCAAGTTCTATGCAATCACACCTCTGTGGGAGTATCTGCATGCATGCACACCACAGAATCACAGCGGGGTTTGGGTTGAGAGGGATCTTTGAAGGACATTCTGTCCAACCCCCCCTGCCATGGGCAGGAACATCTTCCAGGGATGCCAGGTTGCTTCAGCCTGGCACCAAACACATCCAGAGATGGGCTAGCCACAGCTTCTCTGGGCAACCTGTGCCAGTGCCTCACCAGTGCCTCCATGAAAAAGGATTTCCTCTTTCTGTCTAACTCAAACACAACATAGGTCACTTTAAAACTGTTGCCCCTTGTCCTGCCTTGATAAGCCCTGTGAAAAACTCTCCTTTTGGAGCCCCCTTGATATACTGAAATGCTACTTTAAGGTCTTTCCGGAGCCTTCTCCAGGTTGAACAACCCCACACCTCACAGCCTGTCTCCACAGGAGATGGTTATCAGCTCTCAGAGCATCTCTGTGGTCCCCCCCTGACCTGCTCTAACACCACCACATCCTCCATGTGCTGGAGACCCCAGAGCTAGAGCCAGCACTCCTGGGCATCTCACCAGAGCAGAGCAGACAAGGAAAAGCTCCCTCCCTCATCCTGCTGCCCACCCTGCTGGAGATGCACTCAGGACATGCGTAGCTCTCTGGGCTGCCAGCGTGTTTGCACGCACATGGAAGTGTGTATACAAGTAAGTGTGTGGAGGCACCTGTGTGTGTGCTCGGCCATGCCTCCATGTGTTGCCGTGTGCCCATATGGTTCGCATGGCAATGGTGCACACGCTCACCCGTGCCTGGGGTGTGCACAAAAACGCGTGTGGCCGTGGTGTGAATGCTCACCCGTGCCAGCCCTGTGCCCACCCTAGTCCATGTGGGTTACACACAAATATGTGCACAGCGGCAGCGTGTGTGCTCACCCATGCCTACACACATCTATGTGCGTGAACGTGGTGCATGTGCTTTCCCACGCCTGCGGTGTGCAGGCTTGCGCGTGTGGTCTGTGACCACAGATGCGGGCATGGAAACCGTGCACGTGCCTGCTCGTGCGTGTGTCTTCGTGGATGGTGTGCACACATGCGTGGCTGTGATGCCTGTGCTGGCCCTGCCCACGTGGGTGGTGCACACACAGGTGCACTGCAGTGGTGCATGTGCTCTCCCATGCCCGTGCATGTGCCCACGCGAGGGGAGCGTCCGTTTGTGCACGGTGGGAGCGCGCGTGCACGCCCATGCCCGAGCGGTGCCTGCCCGTGCGCGTGTGAGCTCGGTGGTGGTGCGTGTGTGCGTGCCCGCGCCTGGGTGGGTGCGGGAGCGCGCACACGTGTGCGCTCGGTGGCGGTGCGTGAGCGGGCAGCGCACACGCGTGTGCACGTGCTCTCCGTGCCCGCGCGGGTGCCGCACGCGGATGCGCGCGGCGGCGCGCGGGTGCCCGCTGTGCCCGCATGCTCGGGGCCGTGCGTGGGCCGCCCGCGCCGCGCAGCAGCGCCCGCCGCGCCGAGCAGGCCGGGGCTTGCGGCAGGGGCAGGGCCGGGGCCGCCTGCGGAGGCACGTCCCGGCGGGGCCGGGGGGGCTGCGGACGGCGGGCCGGGGCCGGAGAAAGAGCGACCTTGCACCAGCGGCGGCGGCGGCTCGGGTCGTGCAAGGTGTGTGCGGGGCGGGGGGCGCTCCGCCTTCCCCCGCCTGGGCGTGCTGCGGGATGCTCGGCGGGGATCCGGCACCCGGCAGCCCTGGGGCTGGAGGAGGCAATGCACACAGGGAGAGGGGAGGGGGGGGGTCAGCATTGCTGCCCTCAGTCCCCCCGTCTCCTCTCCCCGCAACGCTTGTTGCTGTGCCGAGAGACGGCACCGCGGCTACCGGCAGCCGCGGGGATGGGGGAGGGCGCGGCGGAGCCGGCCCGGGCTAGGTGCGTGGGGCCCAGCACGGCGCCGTGGGGTGCCCCCCGCCACCCCCCGGCCCGGGCACGGCAGCTTTGCTGCCGTCCATGCTCGCTCGTCGAGGTAGGTGCTCCCCTAGTCTCTCCTCAGCTCTCGGGGCCGGCTGGGATGCCGTGGGGAGACGGCTTCCCCCGCATGCGGGAACCCCGCGCTCTCCACTTCATCCCAGCCCAGCCGCAGTCACCTGCGCGGGGCTGGGGACCCATGGGCGCGGGAGGTTCAACCATCCCTTCCCAGCTGCCGGAGTCAGACGGATGGCGGGGTCCAGCTGCTGCTTTTCATGGAGATCCCTGCACTGTCCCCGGCCACGCAGGGCAGCCCGGCACATCGGGGGTGGGAAACAAGGGCAAATAACACAGGCTGCGGGAAGAGGTTCCACCCCTCTCTGCACCAATGTACCAATGCCCGAGCACGGGGCAGCCAGTCTCCTGCGCCCAAGCCTGGGACAACCTTGGGATGCCAGGTAGGCTGAGGAGTAGTTGGGTTGCTGAAAAAAGGCAAGGAAGGAAAACTTTACTTGCAAGGATGCCACTCTGAGTGTCGTTCCTGGGTGAGGAACACCATCTCCCTTGATTTCCAGGATTGTACCTTGCAGCTGGCAGAGCCCTACAGCATGAGGGGCCGTGCGTGCCTCTTCAGGGCTCTTCATTCCTATGTGTCCTTGTCCTCTCAGGGCTATCCTAAGAGGCTGCAGAGCTCTGAGCCAAGCCAGGTTGGAAGATGGCTGAGAAGCTGGTGCCTGGGGACCTGTTCTCGAGGAAGACCCGGGAATCAGTGTCGTCCCTGGACTCGGACAAGCTGGCACCCATCTCACCCGAGGTGGGTGGTGAGGAGTCGTCTGACAGCGAGGGCGAGCAGGAGGACAGTTCTCACAAGCTCATCCGGAAGGTTTCCACCTCGGGGCAGATGAGAAGCAAGGTCAGGGGTGGGGGATGCCGCGGGTGAGGGGCTGGCTGGGTGTGCGATCACTGCTGAGAACAGGGCAGGGGAGTTTACCTTCTCCAGGATTCAAATCAGTACCAGGTTCTTAATGCTGGCAGACTCAACCCAGCCAGAGATGGGAGGGTTCTGGTCCCCTGTGCCCTGTGGGAGGGCACATAGAAACATGCAAACCCCACAGTGGCAGTATCAGCATTGGTCCCATGGGGCTGTGAAGCCCAGATTTTATCACACTATTCAAGAACAGGGTCTCTCCCATACCCAGACATCCCC